TTTTTTGTTTGTTTGTTTGTTTGTTTCTGTAATCTAAGATGTATTTGTTACACATTAGGGTAAGCCAAATTACGATTCAGTCATTTGTTAAGGCTGAAATGCAGTGCATGGTATAAAAATGCAGGATGGTTGGATAATAGTGGACCTAAGTGAAATTAGTGTGATTCAACTGCATAGCACAGAAAATGAATTGGGATATAGGCTACAGGATGTGGATGTGGTGATGTTGAAGATGAGGATGCTGAAGAAAGATACAAAGGAAAGGAAAGATTCACCACCTGATAGAGGGCAAGAACAAAATAGAGCAATTTTAAATGTGGGAGGTTTGCTTTAAGGATTTTTTCAACTCACAGAAAAATGTTGAAATTGTTTTTATTGATTGTTTGATTTCATTTGCTCTCTTTTACCTGCTTTTCTTTTCTTTTTTTTTTTTTTTTTTGCCTAAGCGCCATGTTGCAAATTGTGCTCCGGTGCTCTCCACAGCATTCGTGCTTCGTCTCACTGCACCAATATGTTCTTCCGCGAGATAGGTTTACGATTACACTATTCTTTATTTTCTGAAGTTATTACTCCCACTAAAAGACAGAAATTATTCTTTTTATTCAAATAACATTTTCTTACATAATTATACAAGTTACTATAATTCGTGGCACATTTCCTGCAATTGCAATTTTGGGATCTATTTTGTCTCCAAAAACAAGTTCCACCCATTTCGCCATTTTATGTTCAATAGATGCTTTGTTGAGGAGAAGAAGCCAGGGGCTTTCAAGCGTTTAGCATCAATATATTGAATTACACCAAAAAATTTAAATAATATAAATCAATTTTTGTCTTACGTTAGAGTAATAGTGATAACTATTTTTTTATTTGAAATTAGTCTTTGAAAAGTGGGATGTTAGAAAGGTTTGGGGAGGTAACCTTACCCAAGTAGTCAGGCAACGTGTTTTCTTGTCGTTGACTAGGGAAAAAAAACGACAACTCAAAAAATTTCTCTGAAACTGTTATTTATAAGAAGGCAAATTGACGACCAACGTGCAATCCCCGACGACCGAGGAGATGGCGAGTTCAGTGGGAAACGTGGCCGACAGCACAGGTTGGTTGTTTCACATCGGGCTAACAGCTGCTAGCATTACTGTTCAAGATGACTTACAGCCGTTAAAGTGTGCTTAACTTGGAAAATATTAGATATTAAAGTCGATTGGATCTCCTTAATCTGTGTTTTAGCTACGGCAGTGTTTTTATTATTTCTTAACACTATATTTTAGGGATTTAACAAAGGAGGCCCGTTGTCATATTAGCATCTTTTAGCAGCGTTTGAAACGCATTTTATTTTTTGAATGTCTCGATATGAAACTTAACTCTGTGATAAATGTTTATATATTACTTATAAAAGTCGCCTTTATTTTTTTTCTTTTTTGCTCGAATGTTGAAACGGAGCAAATTTAAGGACGTGACGTTTTTCCATATGAAAAAAACTGCTTCCTAAATTTAGCGTTGCGGATATTTTATTGAGTCCAATTTTCACCCATAGTGGGATCTGATGCTAGTAAAGCTAGCTGATAAAAAGGCAGCATTGTGTGACGCAAATGCTGCATTGGTATTAATTTCTTCACCCATCAACCCATGTTTTTAAAACCAAAAATTATATTTTGAACTTAAGCTGTCATTGACGAATTTGCATCTGATATTGTGTTGGTACAGAGTCACTAAAGCTGCCTTGGTTATTTATGAAAGTGTTACATAATTGTCGCGAAAGGACACAGACATGGTGTCTTTCATATTTAATAGGTTTGTTGAGCAGGACTTGCAAGTGTTTATGGTTCTACTCCTCCCTGCTAAGCCAGTTTGCTTTTCACACAGGTATTTTGCAGTAATGTAACATGTTAGACGAGTCGCAGTTATGTAATTGTCTTAGAAATACCTGCTGGATATTGATTCAGCCACCAATGACCATGTTTGGACATTTGACTTAAAGCTGCCTAGTTTCTGTACATATTTTTAACATTTTTGCATAAAATCGGGAACTCTTTATTTATTGAAAAGTGAGATGAGGTTGGATAATAATCTAATTTCATAATTTTTGTATCTCACCTCAACCTCTACCAAAGAACCTGCAGCACATGTTTTATCTTTTGTGTGTTCAGTTAGAATTTTAAGACTACCAAATCCTAATTGCAAATGCTCAAGAGTTTCATTCTGACAACTAACTTGTCATATAGTTGGACTATGACTGTCATGGTTGGGTATGAACAGTGGTGAGCTTAAGAAAATTTGGCCACACCTAGCCAAAGAAACTTGATTTACTGCAGTCTTTAAGCACAATGGCGTCAAATGTGGGCAAACATTTGTAGGAACATTTTCAAGCCACAGTTTTTATTTATTCAAGTTAATGTTTTGAAAATCTTAAAAGGCACTTTGTTATATGAGAGTATTAATAAATTTGAAAATATAATAAATACATTTACTGTGCATAGATTAGTTATAAAAGTCACTCCTTTTTTTATGTAGCCTGTGTTTAACGGCCAGAGCTTAGGAATGAATTCAGTCATATCTTGTTTAAATGGCGACTTTTCTCATAACATCAGATTAAAACAACTCATTATTAAAGCCAATTTATCTTCTCTTTTAAATAAGGGCATACCAGGAAAAAAACATTACCTTTTGCAATTTTTTAGATGTTTCTTTGTAGAGAAACAGTGAGGAGAGTTTGTAAAATATTTGGTTGCAGTTGTTTAATATAGGATAAAAAGGAAGCTCAAGACTTGGTAAAGTTGTTTCAGTGCCAAGTCAGAAATTAGGTACAAGCACCTTTTTCTGTAAAACCTTAAAATAGAAATTAGTATTTTTATTTTTCACTAACTAGATAAACTATTAGCCTTCTTGGCTCTATGTGCTGCAAACACAAAGCAGAAAGAGATTAACAGTTTTTAAATACTTATTTTATTTCTAGTCATATCTTTATCAATTTATTCAACAATATTATTGGATATTAATATTTTCCTAAAATTTTGCAAAGATAGATAGCAGTGGAAGCTATAAATATTTGAGTGGAAAATATTTTTCCTGTACATCATCATTTCCCCATATTTGTTTCATTTCACACATTTTCATAATTTTTTTTCTGTTAAATACTTTTCTATGTTTAATTCAATAAAAAGCTGCTTTACTTTGGTAATTACCAATATTTTGTTCCTGATAAATTAGTACTGGTAAATTGATCCTGTCTAATTCAAAGGTTTATTAACCTACTGTGTTGACATTCATTAAATGCTTCAAATTTATATGAACGGTCAATTACAGACTTGCATTTTATCTCATTAAAATATCAGGTTTGAATTTTTGTGATCCAATACACCATTGTTGCTTTTCAAATCTTTGCATTGTTACTGCTTTATTTAACGTTGATTTTTATCAGTTCCTTCAGTTGAGTTCATTTTATATTTTATATTGAAGACATTCTCATTCTTTTGTTTTCATTTGTCTGATTTCATTCCTTCCATCACCTCTAACGTGTTGTTTTCCCCCCTCCTTGGCTTGTGTTGGTGCTCCAGAACCAACAAAACGTATGCTTTCCTTCCAAGGGTTGGCTGAACTGGCGCACCGGGAGTACCAATCAGGAGATTTTGAGGCAGCTGAGCGCCACTGCATGCAACTATGGAGGCAGGAGCCTGATAACACAGGCGTGTTATTGCTTCTGTCCTCCATCCACTTCCAGTGCCGAAGACTTGACAGGTATCGCTTACCTAGCGCCTTGGCGCACACTGAACATGCGGTGTGGTGGTAGCTGACGACAATGGGGCTTCTTGGTTTGTGTACATCCAACTATACTGGAAAAACTCAGAAAATCCTGAGTTGCACTGTTTAATTGGGTTTCATACTTTCCATTTTGGTTGTATATGGTACTTGTGACGTAGGGTGAGAGTTCTGGGAGTTGACAGTCTAACAATGTTTTGCTTTTCACACTTTTTAAACTAAGACCTTCATCAGAATGTATTGATGGCAGGATGAAACATTCACAGTTTACTGCAATACTATTTTTTTGATATTTTGCTTCCATAAAGACAGAAACAGTGGGAGTATGTTAGTGAAATACATTTCACAATGTAGGGATTATGATCCATCATGTCAGTAAAACAATTATTTCAGCTTCACATTTTCATTGGCATCTCTTTAAATGAATAGGTTGGATAGAGTTAAAATTTTCTGAGTTGAAATTTCACCCAGATTAAAGTAAGGCAAAGTTTTAGGCCCTAACAAATCTTTTTATGTTCTTGTCTTTCTTTCTTGTTCTTCAAACTAACTTAAAAAAAGGGAGTGAAAGCATCTTCAGTCATCTCACTTCTGTGTTTCAGTGTTGGGCTTCTAAGGGCTTAATTGTACCGCTTTAAGACAAGTGTCTTCTTCCTGCCTCTTGTTTACTGGTGTTTCTGCCCAAAGCTGCTAGAATGTAACTATCGTCTGCCTATTTTGTTTTGCTCCCAAGGTCTGCTCACTTCAGTACCTTGGCCATCAAACAGAACCCAATGCTTGCAGAGGCCTACTCCAACCTGGGGAATGTGTACAAGGAGCGTGGGCAGCTGCAGGAAGCCATAGAGCACTATCGCCATGCGCTGAGGCTAAAGCCAGATTTCATTGATGGCTACATCAACCTGGCAGCAGCCCTGGTGGCTGCAGGAGACATGGAGGGGGCGGTGCAGGCTTATGTGTCTGCATTACAGTACAACCCGGTAAGTAAAAGCAACATTTCTGTTGCTTTAGAATGTAATCACTGATTTTCAGCTGATTTCTAAAAACTGGAATCTGTCCGCCTTCCCAGGATCTCTATTGCGTGCGAAGTGACCTTGGTAATTTGCTGAAGGCTCTTGGACGTTTGGAAGAAGCTAAGGTATTTTGCAGTGGGTTGGCTCTGATATATCTGTGTTGTTCTTTTTGTTTTCGATTAGATTGCTTTTTGTTTCTGTTTGAAGTGTTCACTAAGACCAGATAGATGCTCTTCATATTATCCTTTTATACATTTTAATCGCATATAAATTCCTTTTGAGTAATGCCTCCAGCTAAGACAGAAAACTATCACAGTGAGCTTCTCAATCAGTCTTAGCAAAGTCCTTTAGTAAATATTGGACTGGAGCCAGTAAGCATCTATATGAGGCAATTAGGTTTTAACGGCAGGATTAAAAATTCCTGATGATTCCCTCTAGGCAGCCTCATTTTGTTTTCCAGTAACTTTCACACATCTGTCCATACAATATTATTTTAGTCTCACTACCCTTTGCTGTACACTGACCTTTTAGCAAAGGTCAGCTCCCTACCCTTTCAGGAAGAAAGGCTGGAGTTTTTAAATTCACCCAACAGATCCAACCTCGGCCGGGCATTTTCATGTAGTCCTGATTGGAGGGAAAATGCTGGCTCGGTCTTGGAAGTAAACATGAACTGATGAGAAGCTAGGTCATCTTTTTGAAGTGCAAAAGATAAGATGGTTTATAACCTAATTGCTATACTCCTATTTTGTATGTAAACTATTGAATGATTGTCTCTTTTCATGTTGCTTTGCTGTCAATTCAGTCGCTGTCAGTGTGGGATTTTTTTCCCCCTAGAGTCACCATGTAATTTTGTCTCATGAAAAATTGTTCATTCTAGGGGGTGGCAACCTTGGTGGGGTTCAAATGTGGAGGCATGGAGTTGTCCTGCCGGTTACAGGCCATCTTATTTCGTGCTAGAGGGGGGTAACGGAGTGGGGAGGAGCACCGGGGAGTCACAACCTCCTCCGCTCTGTCGCTCCGCCCCCCGCGCGCTCGCTAAGGTTTGGTGGGGTTTACGCGCTCCGAGCTGTCTTCCTGACCAATCGGCTTCATCCACTCTGCACTCCAGCACACTTGCATTCATTTATTCATGTGTACATATATCAGTTATTTTAGATCATAGCTGACAATTAAAGTTTCATACAGATGGTTATCTACTTGGATAACCGCTCCACTCAGATGTATTTTTAATAGGGCAACTCAAAAAACAAAAAGTCTCCAGTTAAAATGGCGGCTGTAGCGTCAAGCAGACAGCTCATTATCTGTACTCCACCGCCTGCGTCAGATGCTTGGTTAGAAAGACAGAAACGTGCGCAGCAACTGCGATGACCTCTTTATTTCAGAACTGTGGAGACTTCTAGATACAAGTAATTAATCCACAGACCTTTTTTTCTCCACCCATTGGCCAGGATTCAGGAAAGCAGGCCAGGATAAGGAAATCAAAATATTTCATGAAAATGCTAGAAAGTAAAAATCAAGCAATAAATAATTTTTCTTTCCTTTTTTAAAATATGTAATAATATTCCCAAAGAAATGGGATCAGTTCATTTGGGAAAGATCAAGCCAGTAGCTGCCCTCCTGTAATTTGATGTAAAAGCAAATTTGAAGGCTAACTGGGAGTGTGACCATATGTCGCTGATTAACTGTTCACATGAAAGCCTTTCTTCCCTCCCACTTACCCCGTTAGCACTCCTTTTTGTTTCCTTTGAAATGCTGCATTTATTGCATGACTGAAAACTAGGAATAGCATTATGTTTTTTTTTTTTCCTGTTTGTTGTGATTTTGGTGTTTTATTTCCATATTTTAAAATAATATATTGTTTGGAACCTTTTACTAACGATCTTGTTTTCTGATTTTGTCTCTTTTGGCTTTTTCCACAACTGATACTGTTATTTAGAAGGTTTCAGGTGGGTGACACTATTCCTGCGTAGGTGCCTGGCGGAAAGGAACACTAGGGCATCCTCAGTCCTCTCCTCTTCTTCCAGCCAGCTGCGATCGCCACTCTGACAAAGTCCAAAAATATGGTAACGGGTTTGTAAATGCCAACAAAAGAAAAACCACCTCTCTCCATGCTTGAGCTCCTCTGTCTTGTGGCTTCCTTTGAAGAGCAAAAAGAAACAAAAGTAACATAATTTACAGTAAGCATTTCTTAAAATAAGCTCTACTAATTACCCAGTTCTATATAATAATAAAAAAAGAAAACTTGGATATGGAAGCTATAATCGTGTTTTTTATTTAAATAAAGAAAGCAATTAAGAACCCTCTAACTCTTACATACTGGTTATTTTTCCTGTTTTATTTTGTTTTTTCCTTCTTTATTTGGAGTTTCAGCGTTCTGATGATGCAGATAGTGCGCTGTGAGTCTGCAGTAGCGCAGGGGCTGCGCAGCGTTACCCTTCAAGCAACCAAAATGGCGGAAAGCGCAAGCATGCTCACCCTTATCCCCCTTCATTCCCTTCGGCCTGTTGATTGTGGACCTCTCCCCACTCAAACCAGCCTCGCCCCTGAGTGCACCCAAATTTTCAATCATATTTGGCTCAATGAGAGACTTTTGTCTCTTAGATTAAATATTTCTATTAATCATTTTCTGTGTTTTTTCTTCTCCTTTTTTAACCCTTACTTTCTGATATTCCTGACCCTTAAAACATTTTGCCCCTGGTTTATTTCTGAACCCTCATGGGCCTCCTTCTTTAACCTGGCCAACCTCCGGGTGCCAAGCGTGGGCTAGTCTGGTGTTGCAGTTCCTCTGCAGGGGTTGGTGGTCTGCAGCTGTCCCATCTGGGCAAAAAGCAAGCGCAGCAGCAGCGAAGTAACACCTTTGCCAGGCGCAAGGTTATTGCAAGCAGCGAGAAGTGTTGCATTGTGGTTGTGGCAGTAGAGCCACCTGACGCGCTGGCGAATGTTGCGCATGCTTTACAGGGACCATCACCTGCACTAACTGGCCAGCATCCACGGTTGTGAGGTTTATGCCAACATGTGTACTAGGTTATTTTCTCACTCCCATCTATTGAATGTAATACTGTAATGTGCAATTTCTGGTATAAATAATTAATATGCCACTATAATTTGAAAATGTGGTCATGACTGCAGGATGAGGGCCTACGTGTAGGTGTTGGTTGGATCTGCGCAGCGTAGGAAAAAGCAATGCAGCTTTGCGCGGCAGAGTTTTGCGCCAGCGAGCCCATGCTGTAGACTCACTTTTTGCCATCATGGAGAATGGACACTAATTTTCTATTCTCTGCCCTTTTTGTTTTTCTTACTTTTATTCTCATTCTATTTTATTTTACAATCCCTCCCCTACTCTACCTTTTGTCCTCTTTCCTGTGGTTTTCATTGTAAATCCACTGAAGGCTTGCTACCTGAAAGCCATTGAGACTCAGCCCAACTTTGCAGTGGCTTGGAGCAACTTGGGTTGTGTGTTCAATGCCCAAGGAGAAATATGGCTTGCCATTCATCATTTTGAAAAGGTAACTTATCATTTTTTTGTATTAAAGTGTTCAGACAGCCTTTTAAAAGTCTTATGAAATACTTTTATTCTTATTTCTTTCTAAATGTCATCCTTCATCATTACTGCATTACATCTTGAGTTAACATTTGGTTAACTTTTTGACTTAACACTTTAAATCTGAACCAGTGAGTCTTATCAAAATTGTAATTGTTGGAAGTATTCATACATCAATTTTTATGTGTATTATACTTGCAGAATCAGTATTTTTGAAGTTTACAAACTTTATCAAAGATGTCGTATTAAGTGGACAAATGTTTAAACAATGGAAGAAATGCAGAAGCCAAAAAAGGCAGAAGTTGGCTTAACACTGTTATTATTTATTTAATATTTTGTGTTGCGTGCCAACAGTAAAATACGTTTAAAATAAATGTTTACACAAGTGTAATAGATCATGGACTTTTGTAAAGTCTATTTGAGACAAATCTAAATAACTTGGACTTAAAGAAATATGGAATTTTTTAATAGAAAATGCGAAACCAATCTGACATATTTTGTCGGAGTTTATGTATATTTTTTATATATTGTTTAAGTGCATTTCTTTTCTAATTTTAGGCAGTGACTCTGGACCCAAACTTTCTTGATGCGTACATCAATTTGGGCAATGTTCTGAAAGAAGCCCGCATCTTTGACCGGTGAGTTTAAAAGATCACACAAATCTGGTCTTAATTTCTAAAAACAAAACTTTCTCTTGAAACTTTAGGCTCTGAACTGACAACCATTCACATTTTTTTTAAAGTGAAAAGTTTTCCTAATCCACCAAAACAAATCTTTTTGAGTTGTTTACACAGCAGCGCTGGAATTTTTGCTATCTTGGAGGCATTTTAGACTTAGAAGATATGAACTGGTACTATTAAAAACCTGACATTGCTTATGGTCAAATTTGCGGTTAGCATTTCCAAATTCAGTTGATCTACATATGCTGGACATTAACTTGTGACAGACAATATTCTATCAAGTAGTTTGTGAGATAAGCTCATATATTGCTAGTCCTCATTTAACTTTATCTATTTAAACTATGCAACTGCGCACTACTTCTATTCAGGATTGAACTGATGCAACTTACCAGAAGTACAAGGCATGTTTGGATCTATATGCACTTTACATATAGATATAACATGGACTGTTGCAGAGCAGACGTTGTAACGATAACCTGTGTGATTTCAGAGCTGTGGCTGCCTACCTGAGAGCCCTGAGTCTAAGCCCTAACCATGCCGTGGTCCATGGCAACCTGGCCTGTGTCTACTATGAGCAGGGCCTCATTGACCTTGCTATTGACACCTACCGCCGCGCTATTGAATTGCAGCCCCACTTTCCTGATGCCTACTGCAATTTGGCCAATGCCCTGAAGGAGAAAGGAAATGTAATTTGCCCTTCATGTTCCTTATTTAAAACAGTTTTTGCTCCTACTTGCACCAGTCAGCAATTGTTAAATCTTGTCATGATCAGGTTTCTGAAGCTGAGGAGTGCTACAACACAGCATTGCGTTTGTGTCCAACTCATGCCGACTCCCTTAACAACTTGGCCAACATAAAGCGTGAGCAAGGCAACATCGAAGAAGCTGTTCAGCTTTACAGAAAAGCCTTGGAAGTAAGTTTTTTTGTCGTCTTATGAAATTTTTTGATAGGCAAGTGAAAACCTTCACTTAACAATGTTTTTCTTTTTCCATATTTGTCTGTCAGGTGTTCCCAGAGTTTGCTGCAGCTCACTCTAACCTGGCCAGTGTCCTGCAGCAGCAGGGCAAACTCCAGGAGGCCCTCATGCATTACAAGGAGGCTATACGGTTTGTATTTACAATACAGGCATATTTAGAGACACTATTTTCTGTTGCTGTGGCAAAAGATGTATATTCCCATATTTTATGTCAGTCAATACCTGTGCTAAACACTGCTTTACTTTTAGGATCAGCCCCACATTTGCTGATGCCTATTCCAACATGGGCAACACGCTGAAAGAAATGCAGGATGTCCAGGGAGCGTTGCAGTGCTACACTCGTGCCATCCAGATCAACCCTGCCTTTGCTGATGCTCACAGCAATTTGGCCTCTATCCACAAGGTGGGGCTGTTTTCTAGTTTCTGTGTTAGGTGTTGCAGTGTGATGCCTGTACAATTGTTTTCAAACACAAAAACAACTAAACATAAAAAATTCTAATTAAACCCCAACTTGCTTTTAAATGAACTTATTAATGTGTTGATTAGGATTCTGGAAATATCCCAGAAGCCATTGCATCTTATCGAACAGCCCTAAAGCTCAAGCCGGACTTCCCTGATGCTTATTGCAACTTGGCTCATTGCCTGCAGGTTAGTATGATCTTGTTTATTTTACTATCTAGTTGAATTTAGCATTGACAACTTCAAATGTCAATTTCTCTGGCTTCTTTTTTTTTCTTCTTCTTCTTCCTTGCATTCTCAGATTGTGTGTGACTGGACTGATTACGACGAGCGCATGAAAAAGCTTGTTAGCATCGTGGCTGACCAGCTGGAAAAGAACCGCTTGCCCTCGGTTCACCCCCACCACAGCATGCTGTACCCTCTATCTCACGGCTTCCGCAAAGCCATAGCCGAGCGCCATGGAAACCTTTGTCTGGACAAGGTACTCGCAATGATCAAAGCAAGTAACGTTTAAATTATATTTTTGGGTGGTGGTGATGGATGGGCCGGTATGTGGGGGAGGTAAGAAATCAGCAAGGCTTAATGTAAATAGGAAAAAGGTAGAAGGGGGCTGGTGGTGAATTGGTTGCTTGCTATGGAGGAAGATTTAAACAACGGGTGTGGCAGATTCTACTTTTCATTGATTCTCACAAAATTTGACTCATTCTTTGTAGGATTTTCTCCTTAGCTATGTTAGTGTGTTCACACTTTTTCTTACTCTACAGATTAATGCTCTCCACAAACCTGCCTTTGAGCATCCTAAAGATCTGAAGAGCAGCGGCGGCCGCCTGCGCATCGGTTATGTCAGCTCCGACTTCGGCAACCATCCAACCTCTCATCTGATGCAGTCCATCCCTGGGATGCACAATCCTGAAAAATTTGAGGTATGGAATCTTTTTTTGTTTGTTTTAATATTATTTATCATACTTATCATATGTTCAGCAGCTATGTCCATCAATTTACTACAAAAGCTAGATTCTAAAATCGTTTGTTTGCCGTCCCATTTCCAAAGGTTTTCTGCTACGCTCTTAGCCCTGATGATGGTACTAACTTCCGTGTGAAAGTGGTTGCAGAAGCTCATCATTTCACAGATCTCTCTCAGGTAATCTTTCTGAGCTGGAGAATACTTTTAGGTTTTAATCAAGATAAATGTGGAAAAAAATGAATTCTGTTCCCTGTTCCATTGCCGAAAAGGTTGCATTGGTCTGTCCATTAGTCTTTCAGTCATCTGTTTTTTTCCATCTATTCCCCATTTGTCCGTCATCCATATTCATTTTTCCATCTTTTTTACTGTTTGCTTATCATTCAGTCTGTCTTTGGTTTATGCAAGTTTCATATTGACTGTCTGACCTATGTAGAAAAGCTTGAAACAAGTTGATAGTAAAACATATTTTCACATAGAATTGTCCTTTGTTTTCAGATTCCTTGCAATGGAAAGGCAGCTGATCGGATTCATCAGGATGGAATCCATATTCTGGTCAATATGAACGGATACACCAAGGGAGCACGGAATGAGCTGTTTGCCCTTCGCCCCGCCCCAATTCAGGTAAGATTCTGTCAAATATTCCTGTAGAGGAAAAAAGGAACATAGTTCCTTGGCTTTCCTTATGTTAGATATTTTTGGCCTTGGGGAAAAAAAAAAGCTCAAATGTCTGTTCCTGCACATTGAACAGGCAATGTGGCTTGGTTACCCTGGAACCAGCGGCGCTCCGTTCATGGACTACATCATCACTGACAAAGAGACGTCGCCTGTTGAAGTAGCTGAACAGTACTCTGAAAAACTGGCCTACATGCCCAACACCTTCTTCATTGGAGATCATGCCAACATGTTCCCTCACCTCAAGGTTTGTGAAGCACCCCATTGCTGCCACAGCTCTTATTGTTCTGTCATCGAGAAACCACCTGAACAATTCTTCATCTACTCTCCAGAAAAAGGCTGTCATCGATTTCAAATCGAACGGACACATCTTTGACAACCGGATTGTTCTTAACGGCATCGATCTGAAGGCTTTCTTGGACAGTCTGCCGGATGTCAAAGTGATAAAGGTGTGTTTAAAAAAAATCAATAAATAAACATTGCGAAACAAATTCAGTGTTAATTTTTTGTGTGTTAAACATTTGAAGTTAAAACTTTCCTTTGTGATCAGATGAAGTGCGACAACAACCAGGAGCCGGCTGCTGGAGACACAAATGGAGCCCTTTCTATGCCTGTGATTCCCATGAACACTGCAGCAGAGGCCATCATCAACATGATCAACCAAGGCCAAATCCAGGTCACCATCAATAACTTCACAGTCAGCAACGGCCTGGCCACCACACAGGTACGACTGCTGGGCACAAATCAAACGTATTAAGATTTAGGCATGATGGTATATTAATGCTTCAACTCTTACTTGACAGTAATTTCTTAATTTAACATTTGTTGGGAAATGGTTTCTTTTTACATGGCAGTTTTTAAATGTTTTATTTTAATCAGTATCTCAATGAGTGTCTGAAGATATGTTTTAGTTCTCTATTAATATCATCCTTAATAACAGAGAGGCAACATTAGGTTTAGTTTGCCTGTGATAAAATCTAAAACAAGGTTTTCGCTTGATGCTTTGAGCCTTGTTAAACAAGCTGAAGACAAAAGCAATGAAGCAATACTGTTTTGCTCCAAATTATAGATCAATAATAAAGCCGCAACCGGGGAGGAGGTGTTGCGGACCATCGTGGTAACGACCCGTTCCCAGTACGGTCTCCCTGAGGACTCTATTGTCTACTGTAACTTCAACCAGCTCTACAAGATTGATCCGCCTACTCTTCAGATGTGGGCCAATGTGAGTGGAATAGTTGTCATTTTTAACAGCTTTCTGTTTTCTCAGCTTTCTAGATTCATGTCGTTAATCTCCCTTGTCGCTGCAGATCCTGAAGCGCGTGCCCAACAGCGTGTTGTGGCTTCTTCGCTTCCCCGCTGTTGGCGAGCCAAACATCCAGCAGTACGCTCAGAACATGGGTCTGCCTGCTTCTCGCATCATCTTCTCCCCTGTGGCTCCCAAGGAGGAGCATGTGAGGAGAGGCCAGCTGGCAGACGTGTGCCTCGACACACCTCTGTGCAACGGACACACCACCGGCATGGATGTTCTCTGGGCTGGAACCCCCATGGTAACTATGCCAGGTAAGGAAGCTCATTTATTATAAGAATGACTTCATTCTTGCATTAAATAGTGGCTGTGTTTAGAGTTGATTCAATTCTGAAATATGTTTTTAATCAAACTTTCTTGCAGGTGAGACTCTTGCGTCCCGCGTGGCTGCCTCACAGCTCAACTGTCTGGGCTGTCCAGAGCTGATTGCTCAAACTCGTCAGGAATACGAGGACGTAGCGGTCAAACTGGGTTCTGACATGGAATAGTACGTGGATGGCTTTTCTCACCACCTTTTTAATGGGGGGTAAAAAAGTTTTCCGTTATGTTTAACTTCTTTTATATTCTTCCATCCCGCAGCCTAAAGATGGTCAGAGCGCGTGTTTGGAAACACAGAATCTGCAGTCCCCTGTTCAACACCAAGCAGTACACAATAGACCTGGAAAGGCTCTATCTGCAAATGTGGGAACATCACAGCAACGGCAGCAAGCCAGACCACTTGGTCAAACACCAAACAGTGGAGACCAGTGAGACCGCTTGAACTGGAAACTTTTAACCCTGATCAGCAGCATAGTTTGAACGGTCAGGTTTCACTCAAGCTCCCTGCCCTTCAACGACTGTTTCCATATTTCTCATTTACTCTAAAGGGGGGACTCTTGCGTCGAAGGAGCCCACACACACACGTTCACACTTGGTCTCCCATTATGTTGTCGTCGAGTCACACATCTGCTGAGCCAGATCTGAAGCCTGAAATATTTTCAGGCAGTTTGTCTGAGACTCTTATATTGACACATTTGATGTACTTTGTGAGCATGAGAAGGTTGTGAATACCTTTATTTCCCTTCAGTACTTTGGAACAGTGGGTTTTCCTTTGAGTCCTGCCGCGTGTGTACAGGACTAATTGCAGCTTGTGGAGAGAATGCACAGCCATCTTTAATTGTTCTATTTAGACATGGATTAAGAGTGTTGTATGTTTTAAAACAGCGTTGTTGCTCCATTTAAATTGTAGGTTTCATCGGCTTTATCAAGCAATGAATGAGACATAAATTGCATCTTTTTTGTGTGTGTGTGTGTGTAAGCTGTTCTTAAATGGCTGCAACAAGTAAACGTGCAAGTTTTCAAACACTTCCTTCCACATAAAATGCCAACTTTATATAATTTTGTCAAAAGATTTGTTCAGTAGGTGTTGTCCTATTTGATGTCAAACTGAGTTTGTCCTAATTGGACAAAAAAGGAATTTGGAAAGCACCTGATCATCAGTTAAAAGCATAAAAATGATATCGTAATAGATTTTATTTTTGCTTTTTTTAACACAAGCCAGGAATTGGATTGGTAAGTATGATCTGAACAGTTTTTGTTTTGTATTGTTTAACTGTATGCTGTCAGTGAAGCTGCAAGTCTACATATAATAAAAAAATAGGGATTGAAACCAAAATGTTTTTGTTCTGTTCTGAGTCTATAACCAATAAGGCATAAATCAGCAGCCACATAATAAATTCACACTTTTCTAAACACTACAGGAACATTTTTGGTGCATAAAGAACTAAAGATAAAGATAGTGCAGTGTTTAAATATATCTTTGTTACAAAGTTGACTTGTGGAAGCTTAGGACCTTCAGTGTTTGGATCGAAATGCTGCATATCTTCTATAAATCTACTGGGGAGAATGTGGTCTCTTCTGCCATCGTTTATTGTAACTGCGTGACAGCCAAGGACATGAAAGGCTAACATCCGAACATCTAGATTATTGTACAAAGAAGGATTTTTCATAAAAATCAAGAAAATGACATACAACCTAAGTGTCCCCTCTTCCTTTATGTTTAACTTCTTCAGGTGCCTTGAGTAAGAGATTTCCCTGACTGCTGCAAGAGATCTTGCATCAGCATCTACAATAACTATTTGAGAAAAATCTTGAGTTACAAGATTTGTGGTGAATAAAGCAGCTTTGAAATTGAATGTGAAAAAAAAAAAAAATCAAAAAGATACAGGACCATGTGTAGGGGGGAAAAGTCACCCTCAGCTCACCATGCCCATGGTGTGAATATGGTGGTGGGAGAATCATGCTGGGGCAATGTTCTTATATAGTGGAGAAGGAGAACATGGATGGAGTCATTACTTGTGTGTTCTAGATATATTAAGCCAGAAACAATATTTGTTCTCTTCTACTTTCCCTTTTTGCTCACACACAACATGCTGTTAAATATTACATTTCTTCACCAATAAGGATTAAATCACACAGTCTTTAAAGTAACACAAACTCTTTACGTCTATGGTTTTTTTATTTATTTATTTTTTTTATTGCAAAAACAGAACAAACATAAACAACATATAACACTCTTAATTACAAACAGATACATTTACAACAATAAAGGGCTTTATAGAACATAGAACAATTGTTTTACAATATTGACATCGAATCAGTGCTCGAGGGTTGTATTTTCTTAAGGGCATCTAAGATTTTACGTCTATGGTGAAATGAAGTTGAAGACTGCGTCTTACGTATTGCAGATGCGTACGTGATGACGTATTGTTTTAAACATGATGACCAGTGTCTGATTGGACACTTGATCAACCAGACACTCTGATTGGTCAAGCGTCTTCCTTGACGTCTGACGTAATGTTTTTGCACGATTTGAATTTACGGAACCTTTTGTCGCCAACCTGTTTCTGCCTCCATTTAAAAGCAGACGTGTCTGTGGTATCTCAATTATAAGTGAGTTTTTCGATGTTTGTTGCTTTGAATGAATTCTACATTTCGGTGAAAAGTTATCCTGCTTGCTTTAGCATGACGACTGTTTAGTTATTGCTATGTCGCTAACGGAAATGCTAACACTTTCTTCGCCCTCAACGCGCAGCTGCAGGGCCTGCAGGCTACAGACGCTAAACAATCGGTTTTAATTGAAACTGTTTTCTCAATATTTGTTTGTGTGCTATAAGTTCTTTATTGACACCGGCACTACTTTCTTTAGGAGACGGGAAGGAAATGAACGATGATCTCTGCGAGAAGTTTGACAGAGTCGCTAGAAAGATGGGCTGGATGGAGGAGGGACTGGACTCAACCCAAAAAAAGGTGACCCTTTAAACATGGCCATTGTGACTCGCATGGCCTGAATCAGTGGAAACCGTTCGATGACTATTTGTGGATGTTTCTTGCAGTTGATTAGTATGATCGGCAAGACTCGTAATGGTGGGACAAGTGGAGCTCCCAGCGACTCCAGTGATGAAGAGTTTGACAATTGTGAGTGGTTTCTGTTTACATCCTTTCAATGATGCGAGTCCTGTTTTCTGTAAAATGTCACATTTTTTATTTTTATCATTATTTTAGTTCTCATGAAAAACTTTACACCCAAAAGAAAAACTAAGCCACAGAAGCCAATCAGTGCTGCAAAGACACCCAGGTAATGCAAACACAGAATGTTGTTTGTTTTGTTTTTTACAATATGGAAAGATTAAAGTATTTTTGGTATTTTAGCTCAATTGTTCCTGTGGTGAGCTCAGATGACGAAGACAACTTTGAGACATGTGAGTTCATCACTGCTTTTGTTGAAATGTACATCCGTCAGTTGTGAAGTTTGTCTCACGTTTCTCTTTTTGGCACTGAAGTTTTGCAGCGAGTGAAAACTCCCGCCGTCAAAGCCAGGATGAGATCTGAAAGTGGCAGTGAAGACAGGTCAGTTTCTGATTTACTTTTTATTTAAGCATGGCTTTGAGATGAAACCAAACATGTCTTTACCCTGCCTGTCTTTTTCCAACAGCCTGAAAAACTTCATAGTGAACAATTTCTCGTCTGATGACGATTTTCTTGAAACTAAGTCATCCTTAACAGGTAATGTTTTGAAGTCATTTTAGTTGAGACTATGGCATTCTTTTGAAATTTGAAGTTCACTTTTGGTCACATCTGACCAAAAACTGTTTGCTGCACCTCTGCACAGATTCCTGCTAAACAAAACCTCTTATATCTTTAAAATCATCTCTTTCTCTCTGGCTTGATTATTTATTTGGTCACTTCCCTGAATATGCAATATATTCTTACATTTTGATTTTATTGTTATATCTTTCTTTTTTCTTTTTTTGGCAAGTTGAGCGAACTGATTAAATGAGATTGAGCAGCATTTGCAAGTTAATTATATATGCTTTCTATTTTGCAGTTCCTAAGAAGATCAAAACTCCAGTAGGGCAGCGGCCATTCAGAAGACCTCTTGCACAGTGGAACTCGCCGGTGTTTGTTAGTGACAGTGGGGACGATGATGATGAAAACATTATCATAAGGAGTACTTGGAAGGCTCGTCATTCAAAGCCCAAACCTCTGGAAAGAGTTGAAAAGAGTGAAGACAAGCTGGAAGAGAATCACTCACCAATGTTGCCCAGTTTATCTGACTTCCTCCATCCTCCCAGTATCACTCCGGCATTAACAACTTCACCCAAGCGGACCCTTTCAGCACCTTCTAGGCTGGTGTCGAGCTATTCTGAGGAGGAGTTTGCATCCCTGTTGGAGAGGCTGAAAAAGAAAAACAATCTCACCAGCACCACATTCACCCCAAACACCAGTAAAGGTAAAATCTTGATAAGCTGTGGTATGCCTAATATCTGTTTCCTTTATTTTTTTTATTTTTTTTTTTACCTTAGAATCTGAAACAAAGCCCGTGGTCTCAGCTCCTGCTGTGAAACCATTCACAACACCAAGCTCGAAACCTCAAGATGTGAAAACACGTGGAAAATCCTCCATTTTGAAGCCTACAGTCAGTCAGACGGACCCCAGGCCCGCTGCTGTGAGCAGGTGCATCTGCCTTCACCAACAGCGAGTCTGAATGTTGCCTACTTTAAATGTTGTGCATAAAGAGATTTATCTGGACTTGCTCTTTCTAGGATTGCGGTGTGTAAGACCCCTGGCTGCTTCTTAGAGTCACTCGCAGTTCCTGGCTCCATATATGGATCCATTTTCAAGAAGAATAAGGAAGAACTAACAAACAAGCTCTACCAGCTCTACAATACCAGCGTGTTTGACAACAAGGTGATCCAAATTCAAACTTTCTCTTGCTTCATTTACGTTCAGATGGTAGAAACTTTAGTATTTAAGGGATTGTGAATGCACCCTTATTTATTTGGGTAACAAGTTTTTTTGTTGAATACATCCACACAAACTCATTTCAGCAGGATTGCATTATTAAAATATTATAAGAAACGGCCTTTTTCGGCTTTATCCATGTTGGAATAATTGTGTAATCTGATGCTGTTCGCTTCAGTGCAAGTGCAAATGTTTTGGTGTACATTACGGCTTTATGACAACGGAAAAATATTCCGTGTTCATTTATGTCGTGACAAAAATAAAATGACTTGCAAAAAATGAACTAATACTTAAGTATGTGGTGTTAATGTTCATATGCTTTCATTTAATTCAAAACCCAGTTATTGAGTGTTATGGTTGAGTATGATGCTAATGTTTCCATTAGCTGTGGCACCCTTAGCCTGTGCTGCTTAGTTATACCACCAGTCCTCACCAAGCCTAATAAGCTTGGTAACAATTTCAAAAATTGATTTGCAATATTAACTTTATTGTATATGAATGGCTATTTTTTTTACTTATTTTTTAGCTTCCAACCAACATGTCTGTAACCTGGAATAAGAAGATGCGGAAAACGGCGGGTTATTGTATCACAGGACAAGAAAAAGGTGGAGGAAACCGCTACGCTCGCATCGAGCTGTCCGTCAAAGTCTGCGACTCTGCCGGTGAGACTCCTAAAAGGGGAAATGCTCTGTAGCGACGTCTGATGACGAGTAAATATGTTCCCTCTTGGGCCAGTACCTGAATTCAGCAGTATTTCTGCCCGTCTCAGATCGTCTCAGGGACACGCTGATCCATGAAATGTGCCACGCTGCCACGTGGCTGATAAACGGCGTGAGGGACGGACACGGAAACTTATGGAGGCTGTACGCACGCAAATCCACACTCATGCATCCAGAGCTGCCCATGGTGACGCGCTGCCACACTTATGACATCACGTACAAGTTCCAGTATCAGTGCAAGCGCTGCCAGAATACGTAAGTCTGAGCTGTGATGAGGCTTTTCCCGACCAGTGCTGATTTCCCATCTACTCTGTCATCTGACCTTTCATTTTTGATTGTGACTGACTTTTGTCCTCCAACATTGAGGCAACATTATGTAAAAATGTATTCTGAAGTTACTTTGACAGAACTATTTAGCAGAAAAAGAATAGTGGGAGTTTCTTACTTTTGATGCATTTTATGGAATAGAAATGAAAATTTTTCAATATTTGACTAGGCGATCAAAACATTTGGCCGATTTGATCAAGATTGATCGAAGCAGCTCTAATTACCACCACTGAAATATATATATATATATATATATATATATTAATTGGCTTAAACCATTCACCACATATTTTTGTCAACTTTTTTTTTTTCTTATTCTTCACAGGATCGGCCGCCACTCCAAGTCTCTGGACACGCAGAAGTTTGTGTGCGCGCTCTGCACAGGTCAGCTGGTCTTACTGACTCCCTCGAAGCCTCGGGCTCCCACGCCTTTCGCCACATTTGTCAAAGAGAATTATGGGAACGTGAGGCAGGAGCTGGCGGGGCAGAGCCACGCAGAAGTGATGCGGAAACTGAGTGCCGATTTTGCCTCAAAGACCAAACTTGGTGAAAGCTGAATGAGCGGACGTACTGAAAACCCTTTACCTCCTACGATGTTCTTACCTTTACAGGCCACTGTGATACTGTTGTCTTTGTACCGGTAACTGGAAATGTGAACAAAAACAGCAGTGTTTTCTGTCCGCTATATATTTTTGTATTCAAGTTGATAGAACTGTCTCATGTCTTATCCTCTCTCTAAAATATGCTGGATTTCTTTTTTTTAACAATGAAAAATTGGTAAATAAAACAAATATAGATTTTAACTTTTTCTTGCCCCTAATGGCCTTCATCTGCAGTAGATCAGACAGGACAGAGACGGGAGACATGCAGCAAAAGCCTCAGGATCAGGAGTTCAACTCTGAACGGCTGCGTTGAGGACTAAAAGTCTGCTGTGACCCACAGTTGGCTATGAAAGTAAACTAGCGGATGTTTATTGTACTCTAAAAAAAATTTTCTGAATTATTGATGTCAATGTGATTAAGTAATGAGCACTACTCGCCTGAGTAACGTTTTTAAATCGATTGGAAGTGAATGTAACTGAAAAATAATGGTCCGTTTTATTACCGTGACTTTATTAAGAAAATATTTACAGGTCAGAGCCGTGCTGTTTTTGGCTGTCACTTAATGTAACCTATCAGAGCTGATCAAATATGGATAAATGCAACTTGCAATAGTGAAATGCAAAACTAAAAAAAACAAAAACAAGATGGACTGCTTCAACATATTTATTTATTTAAATTCTATCTACTCTGCTACATATTCACGCTTCAATTCACAATATGCAAAGCACTTGACAATTCGGAGGAGCAAACGTCCACAGCAGAATCAAAAATATAGGAAGCGTACAATATTCAGCGCTCTGGGGATTGGTGGGACGAGCGAGGAAGGTGTGTGTGGATCTGTGGAGCATCTTCCCTGATTGTGGTGGTGGCACCTTTATCAGGCGCAGGCACAAATCCACAGGGAGTGCAGGGATGAGACGGCACTCCCCGTTTATCCAAGTTAAGTTCCACGCATTTCATTAAAATTGTCATAAAAAGGGCAAAAACGAAGAGCCCGGCAGAACCTGATCCACAAGGTCGCGTAGCAAACGAAGCACTGGAATGTACTTGTCACCGTTTTAGCAGGCACTAAGAAGTTGCAAACGATCTCAACTGAATTTGGCATCAATGTGAATCTACGTTCCTTTTAAAAATCTGCAGCATGTTTAGTTTCATCACTTTAAATTAAATACGATTGGTAATTTGGCTTTTCACCTGTCGTCCTCCAGACCTACGTTTATCCCACTGTAATGCATCACCGGGCAGTTTGATACGTTTTAGGTGAAAATTATGGCACAACACAACAATAAAAGTTTTCTACATGAGTGTATGAGCAGCATTACACACAAAGCGCTGTCCAGGTGTGACTCTGCGTCGCCAGCCCCTCTGCCTTCAGTACAGGCAGGTTTTCTTCATGATGCGCAAGAACTCCTGCTCGTTCACTTCTCCGTCCCCGTCCCTGTCCGCTTCATCTATCATTTCCTGCACAGACAGGGAATGCAGAAGTAAATAAAACGTTTTATTGCGGATGTTTTATTGTGCGTTGTGGCTCACCTGCAGCTCCTCGTCTGTCAGGTTTTCTCCGAGCTCTTTGGCCACTCTCTTCAGGTTCTTAAAAGAGATCTTGCCTGTTTCGTCGTCGTCAAACAGCCGGAACGCTTTGAGGATCTCCTCTTTGGAGTCTTTCTCAGCCTGAAAATTAAGAGAGGAATATTATTAGGAATTACCTGCTGGAAAAGTACACCGGACTTGTACGATCAAAGTCTCCAACAGAAGTACTCTGTTGTAGTCTCCCCACTTCTTATCCAAAGAGTTCTCCATGTGGAGTGGCTTGCAAAACTATTCAGCCTAAATCCAAAAGGGAATAGGAAGTCAGAAGCTGCCCAATCTGACAGAACTTGTAGTATGTTGCAAAGAAAAACGGCCAAAGCTGTTACAGACAAAGCGCGATTATAATGTGACGAAAATGTGAAGCAGATGTCTGAATGCAGCTGCTAGGCACTGCAAACGACACTGTGTGCTTCCATACCATTTTCTGTGTCATGATTGCCAGAAAGTCAGCGAAGGAGATCTTCCCCGTCCCATCCTTGTCCACTTCTGCAATCATCTTCTTGATCTCCTCCTTCTTTGGTTCGAACCCCAGAGCTCTCATCGCAACCTGGCTCACAATCAGAAAAGTGCACTGGAGTGATCCTGGCCAACATTTTTTTACTCTCGTATTAATGCTCAGAAGACCTTTTACCTTGAGCTCCTTCACATCGATGTGTCCAGAGCCGTCGGTGTCAAACAGCTCGAAGGCCTCCCTGATCTCCTGCTTCTGCTCCTCAGTCAGCTCTGGCTTGGGAGTTGTCTTCTTGCGAGGAGGGGGCACTGGACCCTGCAGGGATGGCCTCTTGGCACTGGTTGCCTGTTTGGATTGCACAAGAGGAAAATAAAATGAAAAACCTCTTCTTTATTTTATTATTCTTATTTTATTTGATTTTTTTCACAAAACCAACCCAATAGTCATATGAAGAAATTGTAGTTTCAAGGAAAACGCATAAAGCCTGACCCTCCACTAAAACCTGATGTCACTTACCATTTATTCCTGTGTATTTGACCAGCAGTTCACTAAAAAGAAATGAGTGTTTGTCTGGGTTTTTTTCTTCTTCTCCGATGTAAGCCCTCTGTATCACGCAGGAGGCAGGAGACGAGTGGATCGCATGAAACGTTGCCTGACACCTCCGGTTTTATTTTACACAAATATCAGCCATAATGTGGATGGAGAATCGCGTTTCGAGCTAATAACCTGGGCTCCGGCAGCTGTCACGAACTGGACGACTTTAACCCGTCGTTTGCCGGTCGAGTCTCTGGCCAGAGACTGAGAACCAGCACTGCGAGGATGCTGACAGGAGCACCCGGTGCGAGGAATCAAACGCACCGGTCGGGGAAAGAGCTGATTGGTTGTTGAACATCACAGGATGCATAGGATTACAGAATGATTGTAAAGGTAAAAAATAAATAAATAAAATAATATCGGTGATCCAGTAGTGTAATAATCTTTGCATCATATATGGACACCCGTTTGTTACATTTTAAATGCCGCAATTTTGAAATGGCCTCATTACTCACACCTAGTGGCAGCTTTTTAAAGCTGCACCCAGATATGTGGAGTCTGCGTTGATACGTCACAGGATCCTGAAAACTACATCTATCTATCTATCTATCTATCTATCTATCTATCTATCTATCTATCTATCTATCTATCTATCTATCTATCTATCTATCTATCTATCTATCTATCTATCTATCTATCTATCTATCTATCTATCTATCTATCTATCTATCTGTCTGTCTGTCTGTCTGTCTGTCTGTCTGTCTGTCTGTCTGTCTGTCTGTCTGTCTGTCTGTCTGTCTGTCTGTCTATCTATCTATCTATCTATCTATCTATCTATCTATCTATCTATCTGTCTGTCTGTCTGTCTGTCTGTCTGTCTGTCTGTCTGTCTGTCTGTCTGTCTCTGTCTGTCTGTCTATAGATTCTATATACATATATAGAATTTATACATAAATTTAAAAACATATGCACATAAACATATAAAGACTTGTATATACATATATATATATATATATATATATATATATATAATATAAACATATGTATATGAAGACTTGTATATATATTTTTATATATATATATATATGTATTCTAGTTTTTATATAAATGTGTTTATGTGCATATGTTTTTAAATTTATGTTTCTTAATATCGGTTGTAAATAATACATTTCCAGAAGCTCCGGCCTGATAGCCTTCCAACAATGAACGTAATCAGTGATGAATTTTCATTCTCCTGTTTCACATGAACTCTTTGTTCTCCTATAGCAGGTTTCCGGTTTACCACAAATTATTCAGGTTGCTGTCCTCTGTTCCTCTCACCAATCTCCAACTACATCATCATTTAATACTTCCTCATTTATAACTGCGATTTACAAGCAAAATAATGCTAGATATTTTTATGTTCCCCCTGGTTTCAGAATAAACCCAAACTGCTGTCTATCAGTCCTGTGCAGCAGGTAAATCTCTTTCCTTTGCTAAAATGCGTGACAATGAACTGGAGGCACGCACTGTTACTAAAACATGGAAACCCTTTAACATTTCCTCCTTGAAAATAGACATTATGTCTTTACTAAACTGACACAGATATGGACGGAATCTGTGTGGTTATGACATCACATTGGTTTCTGACCCAATAGGTCTGTCACACAAAAATAAATTCCTTCTGGCACTTTCCTCGGAAGAGACAGTTGTATTTCACTGAGAAACCAACTCGATAGTTTGTGATTATTCAACAATCCTGGTGTGCTTCACATACCCCTACAAACCCAGTAAGTCATGAACCATTCCATCAGTTCAGATGATCAACCAGTCCCGGTTATTGCCATGGACATGATCATGCCTATGATCGAAGAGTTTTTTTGGTGCATTTCTTTGGATCAGACGCTGGATTTGGCCACAGGTAAACCTGATAACGAAACCAAATCCGGTTTAAAGGAGCTGCTGTTAAACCTGGCGGAGGAATGTTCCACCTTCATTCTCTGCAACATCCAAAATGGACGAATCAGATCTCCGGATGTGGACACGGTCATTGGCGATGTCCTGCTAACTACATTTGCAGACATCCTTCGGATTAGGGAGAAAGTTCATCCCAAGACCTTTGACCGTTTCAATGAGCCATTTATTAAATATGTCAAAGAAAAGGTGAGATTTAAGATCTGTTCCATGCAAGATCAAGCAGCTTCCTTTGTCCTCCAAATCTCTGAGACAGACAGAGTGGACCGAATCCTACCACACGCACTCAGACTAATAGAGGAATTACTAGTGTGGAGCTGTAAAGAACATCAGCAGAGAAAACGAAAAGCTGCTGAAGGCCAGTATAATGCCTTCAACAAGCAGCAGAGAGTTGCTGTTCTCTCTGATGCTGATCATTTCCAAGCTGCGGAGAAACACACCATCAAAAACCCACCGTACAGAGGGATCCAAAGAGATAGGGTGCTTAATTCCTTCCACGATAGGAATAATATGCACTTTAAAGTGAACCTGTTACCAGTCATCGGAGAGACGCCAGACCTTGAGGAGGCAACAGAAATGATAGAAGAGATAGATCTTGTTCCTGAATATCAGGACTCAGACCTGAAGATTGTGGATGAATTCATCCTGGAGGATCTTTCAAAGATCACTAAGGTCAGTCATTTCATCTCTAAGGAGACAAATTCAAATTTTAAGATAATGGATAGATTTATGTCTTGGGAGATTTCAGAACTGACAAAAACAATTAATTGTATCCCTAAGGAAAAGGAGTCAGATCTGAAAATTGTGGATGATTTCATCTCTGAGGAGCTGTCAGAGATCCCTGGTGTTTCACTGGATGTGCTTCAACCAATGGAAAACTGTGGATCTCGAGATCAAGTTGCTCCACGACCCTTTCAACAACAGAAGAACAAAGATGTTGGCGTCACAGTTAAGGAGTTCTATAAAAAATATAGTGAAGGACGATACAAGAGAGTTGCACCAGCACAGCAAGTTGAAGAAATACCACTTCCATCAGTAGACAACTTCATCCCAGACAAATCAAACCTCTCAACAGGGCTACAATTTGTTAATGAGGAGCAGCAACCAGAGATGGCCAGAGAGGTTGCCGAGCCGCTGTCACCGAGTTCAGGCAAGGAGAAGCAGCAGTCAACCATCTTGCTGCTTGCTAATGCAGTTGTTACGCAGGCTGTAACACAATCACAGATAGACTGCAACTACAAAGACTTCCAAGCCATCACCAATAGGCTGTCTGAGAAACTTTATGCCGAGCTCATGGAACAAGAGTTAATTGATATCCAACATAGCCTGAACAAACTCAGCGATGACATAATGAGAGGAGTCTCTAAAAGGATGTGCTGTGCGAAAGCCGACGTTCTTTCACTGTTGGCTTTAAATGACTCGGTCGTAGACGAGGCATTAATCTCCATTTGCAGAGAGAAAATATTGAAAACAGCCAACAAGCCAGGCATCGTCAAACGTTTCTGGGCCGCCATAGAAAAGGCTCTTTTTAACCTCCAATAAACAGATTCTGTTTATCGGAGAACCTGTTTATTATAAAAAACCTTATTTCTTATTTGAGAATAACAAGTAAGGTTTCTTATTTGTAGACATGGTTTTCTGCAAGCCCTTCAAAAATGTTTTGAGGAGCATAGATAATTAAATTGGCAAAGGAATCAAACATATTTAAAAGTTAATTGGTCCTAGTAGGTAAAGTTTTCCAAAAATCTAATAAAAAAATTTATGAGATGCACATATATTGAAACTTATATGTTAGGTTCATTACTGAAACAGTTAATGAACCTAACATATTGAAGTTTCTTGGCCTTTGTAGACAAGGCTTTCCACAAGCACTTTAAAAAGTTATGAGAGGCACTTTCAATGGTCTGGGAAAATATGGGGATTCTCTGGCCCAAACATAAAAGGTGCAACTTGTGCCGTTTTCTGTCCTGAGATCCAAGATAGGTGATAGACTGGCCATCTCACCTCGGGGTGAGATGGCCAGTTCCTCTTACCAATCTCCAAGATTGGTAAGAGGTAAGACAGGTAAACCAGACAGGTAAACCTGCCTGGCTACTCTCTTACCTCTTCCTGGTGGGGAAGTATCACCTGCTGCGGTACCTCCAGGTGATAATTACACAACCTGCTGATTGTGTAATGGTAACTACACAATAAAGAGGTGCAGAAATGGAGGATTGGATGGATGGTTACACATCTTTCTGAGATCTCTTAGGGAAACGTTGTTGAAAAAAAAAAGCTTATGATTGGCTGCAGAGTGCCTGTAGATTGGATGGAAAACCACAGTCCATTCGCCTCCTTCCTACATCCTCAACATATCACAAACCAAGCCATGCTTCTTTTCATTTCTTGCCATTATTATTTCTATTATTATTTCCATTAAACCTCAGTTCAAGTCTGTGTGAGGTTCCCAACTCTTCTTTTTATTTGGATATCAGTTCAACCATTTCTATTGGTTGGATACTAAAAAAACCCTGATGACCTCTGTGATGTACTGGTGACCTGTGGAGAGTGACATCCCTTCTGACCGAGTGACAGTGACAGCTGGATATTGCCTCCAGTCCCATGTGACCTTCTTGGGACCAGTTGTCACATCCAGAGTTGTGTGCAGGATGTCTCTTGTGTGCCTCTCCTGCCTCATTCCAAAGACATTAGCTGGTGTTTTCTCACAGCTGAATCAGGAGAAGCTTTAAGAGGAGCAGGCTCCCTGAGGCAGATACCAGATTGTTGTGCTCACATCAGAGGTACGCAGCTTCTTTTCTGTGCGTCTAACATTTATGGTCCTGGCGTCTGTTTGGAAAAATCTCCAGAATCTCCTCACCACTTCTCTGGCTGCTCTGATCTGAGAAACTCTCCTTTACATCTCACCTGCCTGGCCACTTTCTCACTTTTTACTGATCCACAATTCCAGCCTGGTCTCCCCTGTAATAAAGACCTGGATTCTTGCTATAAACCAAGAAGACTCATCATATCTAATGACTAACTTAAGTGCATAAAGCCTGTACGGAAAGTCCCAGCTCTTCCTTTCTATATCCCCCAGAAAGGAAGAGCCACACACCAAGCTGTGCAAATTTATTAATAAACCTTTCAAATTGCCTTTTGGTGTCTGTTATTCTTCTTCATTCAGTAAAACTTAATTCAGTAAAATAAAGTTTTATTCATTTTATTGAATAAGTAAAATAAAAAAACTCCCTTTGTGAGTTTTATTCATAAAATTAATGCCCCTCTATAACCCTTTTAAGAATGTCTTTACCAGCATTGCAATGAGAAGTAGTCTGCACAACGAGCTCAGCAGATGCACAGTTCCACCAGGTATTCGCTAATTGCTGCTGGCTAGTCTGAAGGAGATGATTGGGAGAGTCAAGGTAGGGTGGGGATGGTAGATCTGCTCTGTGAGGCAGGAACTGCACATTGAAGGTGGGCTAGGTCCAACCAGGTGTCAAGGCAACACTCTCTGTATGTTTTAAGACATCCTGCATACTGAGGGCGGTATGCAGGAAGCCACCCTATAAGGATTCATTATTGATCCTTATCATGTAGGTGGGGCTACTGAAACCAGCTGAAACTTGCACCCGACTCTGAACAATAAGATCTATTTATTGTTAAAGGTTATTATTCAGTGCTCTGCATGCAGGAGAGATGCATCTGTTTCCTCATTCGTTCACCTCCTGCAGCCTGGAGAAGTGTCAGGCTGATTTATCTCCAGCAGTTCTGCAAAAGCTCCTCTCTGCTATTGCAGGATTATAATTCACTCTTCATGTAATCTATAAAATGTGTAGATGAGTTCCTGAGAAGATGTTTGCAGATTCATTTAATCAGCAAACAAGTTCTTCTCTTTGGATTGTCACCTTCCTCACATGATTCCAGATATCTTAAATTGATTTATGACTACACATATTAATAGTTAATTTGATCAGTCTATTTACCTTTAACCCATATAGAGGCTTCAATTGAGGATATTTGCATCATATACTCACCATCTGAAACATATTTCAGATATCATTAATCAATAAAAAGTGACCATTACTTTGACACTCTAAAGTGTTATTTTATTTATCATTTCATAAAAAAGTTAAATAGGTAAATCTATATAGATTTAGATGAAACATTTTTTGTCAAAGATAACAAATAAATGATAAAATAGACAGAAATCTGTAAAACGCACAAGAACTATAAATTATATGTATAATTATGTTTTAATAAAATACCAACAAACCTGAATGAACTCTTGGTTTGCGGGGAGACGTCATATCGCAAACACTGAGAGGCGTGGCTTCAGAGACAGGAGGCGGAACTAAGCTTTCCACGGTTCTCCATTGGCTAAAGTTGTGGCGTTCTTTGACGTATCACAAACCTCATTGGCTGCCTGTGGACGTCGCCTTTGCGTTTGACGCTGCCTTGACCAATCACACAGAGCTTTTCTCAGCTGATAGAAACAGTTCATTGTTGAGTTCCAGGTGTTTTTTTTGGTGTGTGGAACAGATGTAAAAGTTGCACGCCGTTCACTCCATGTTCGAGGGTCTACGTGTCTGCACCGCTGTTTAGAAAAGAAAGGAGACGCAGCCTTCCTCAAGCTCACTTCTCCTCATATTTTTTTGTTTCTCCACTTCTGTGCCGGTTTTCCCTCGTTATGGCCACGCGCGTTCGACCGGTGAGTTGCAGACAATCTGTTTTAAAGTTGTTATTCGTGTGTTTGGTTGATAATTGCTGTGACTGTACGCCGCAGGGCAGCAAGCGGTGTGCAGTGATCGGAGGGTCTGGTTTTCTGGGTAGACACCTGGTGGAGAAGCTCCTGGACAAAGGCTACTCTGTCTCCGTGTTTGACATCCGGCAGAGCTACGAGCTTCCAGGCGCCACCTTTCACCAGGGAGACCTCTGCGATAAACAGGTCACACTTCCTCTGTCTAGAGGACTGGCCCATTATTTTCACCTTTTTTCTTTGGTCACAATGTATATTTTTTTTGTGGGGGGGGGGGGAGTGCATGTTGTCAAATGTGAGAAAAAATAAAACATGTTTGTCAAAATGTAGACTGGTAAAAATCTGAAAAGTGTGGCAAGTTCTTCTCCTTGGGCTGTGTATTTGGGCTGTTGCCCCTCTGCCAACAGATTCTTGCTTGTCTGATAATGAGCCACTTGTCCGACCTGGCAGCTTTCTGTCGGCCATTTCTGGACAGGTTTGCAGTTGTGTCTCTACACTTCCCATTGTGGACTAAATGATTAAACCACAAGATATTAAAATTTTGGACAAATATTTTCTAACCTAAACCCACTTTAAACTGCTCCACAAATCACCCATTGCTTAGTATTACTCTATGTTTTTCTTGCCACCTACTCCACATCTCCAGCACAGATGTAGATGCAATTGATAAAAGGGCTTTTAAAAAGCTAGCAGTCAGCAGCTGTCGCTGTGCTTTTCTTGCCTCCAGGCTCTGCTTTCTGCTCTGAAGGATGTGTCTCTGGTATTCCACTGTGCCTCCCCAGCTCCTTCTAGTGATGACCGGCTGCTGTTTGAGAGGGTCAACATTCAGGGCACTCAGACGGTTATTCAGGCCTGCTTAGACGCAGGCGTACAGGTGCTGCTGGTTTTTCTTTCTTGTGGCTTTGAAAACATTTTCTTCAAGAACTGGGATTAAATGCCCAACTGGTCCTTGTTGACAGAAACTGGTCTTGACAAGCAGTGCCAGTGTGGTGTTTGAGGGCACCGACGTCAAGAATGGAAAAGAGGATCTGCCATACGCCAAGAAGCCCATTGACTACTACACTCAGACCAAGATTGAACAGGAGAAGGTAAAAGGTGTTGAAAAGGATTTCTTATCAAAGCAACCTCTTGCCTCAAGAAATCAAACAAAATTGCAAGCAAAACACTTAAGAATTTCATGTGTAATACCAAAGCAGCTCTATTTTCAGACTTACTCTGGTAATTTTGCAGTGCAATCCTCTTTGCCGAACCTCCAAATTTGACCTATTTGGTATGTTTTAGTTGGTTCTGGAGGCGTGCAACAAGCCGAAGGGTTTCCTCACGGTTGCTATTCGGCCTCACGGCATCTTTGGCCCTCGGGATCCACAGCTGGTTCCCACCCTGGTGGACGCAGCTCGCCGGGGGAAGATGAAGTTCATCATCGGGTGAGCGATCGTTTCGTTCCTCGAAGGCATTAACTATTCAGACAACTTCTCTTAACTCAAAAACCATGCATGAGTATTTTACAAATAATCCGGCCATATAGAAACCTGTTTCATTAGTTGAAATGTTTAAAGTCGAGATACAAATATTACATTAGACCAATTACAAAAGCACTATTTTTAATTGAAACATCTGGGCTTGGTAAAAAGTAGGTTTAATTAATGCTTTAAAGTTTATATTTTTAAAATTTACTATTTATTTTAAATATGAGCCTCATCAGAACACGTTTTAATTTGTTGAATATGACTATGTGTTTATTAAGTCCCCTGTTTTAGAATTTAGTTCAATTTGTGATAGAGATGCACTGAGGATTTGACTGATGACTGAAATTTATGGGCCTCCACTGGTCTCCAATTAATCCAAAACATGTTCACTCAGTCTTAGTGCATCACTGCTGACAACAACAATCTTAGGAGCGGATGCTCTGCTGTTGCTGAGAGGATATTGTCCTAATTTAAACATGAGGTCAGAGAAAGCACAGGAACAACAGATGGTTGTTAAAGAGAAGACCAAATTTTCTGTGGAGGCATTTTGACTGTTCATTACAGCTGCAACAGAGCAGGAGATTTCTATTGTTTGTTAGTTAAAAATCCCTCCACATGATTGCTGGTTTACACTTGCAGTGGTCAAACTGACAAAAAAGTGGACTGATGTGGGGATTATTTCACTAGAAATCTAGAGGGATGAGCAGAGTACTGAAAAGTTGATCTTATTCTTTTGAACTCTTGACCTCTGTCTGTCATGGACCAAGCTGGATTTAAAAAATGTCTGCACTATTTCTTGAAAATCTCATAATTAAGGTAAGTGTACATTCTCCTAGACTTTTATGAGCAACAATAACTGTGCTCATTATTCTAATGACTCCTATAAAATGCACAAGTGTGATTAAAATCTCACTTCCAAATGTTTATGTCCTCGCTTTAAAATGTTAACGAGAGCCCATTTTACGGTGAGAAATTTCTCTCACACAGCGTAAGAGATCTAAGTATAAGGTTATGAGGATCATTCACAGTCAAAAAGGTCAGAAATATTTTAGACAGGCAATTTTAATTCTTGTAGTCCGATACGACTAAGCAGCTCAAAGCTTTACAAAAACCAGAGATCAAAAATTGGATAGAAATCTCAGATCAGTTCATCTTTAGCCCTTATAATTTAGTACAATGAATTTCACATAAATGTGTTTAGAAATTTTGTTTGACAAACTTTATAGCCATAACTTTGCTTTAAGGCATTTATTCTGATTTGCGGCCTAATAGGAATTTGAATAAGGTTTATAAACAAACAATTAACAAGCAATGATCTACTTTCTTTGTACCCATTCACCCTCTTAGCGCCCCCTGTTGCTTGCTAGCATAGTGCAGCATGCTGAGAAACTTTGAACTTTAACTTCTGCTCTTTCTTTGTGCCTTTACTCACTAATTAGACCATTTTAATGTTTTTTTTTTCTCAACCAGTGATGGAACCAATCTTGTGGATTTCACCTATGTGGAGAATGTTGTCCATGGCCACATCCTTGCTGCTGAGCACCTGAGAGCAGAGTCTCCTATCTGTGGAAAAGTGAGTGAGACTTCAAGAACATGAATATAGATCAATAAATTCTCTGATGTCCTTCAATTTCTCTCTTTAGTTTCATTGTTTTCATTGGCTCTCCACTGATCTTTATCTCTGCACCCTCCTCCCTCTCCTGCAGCCGTATCACATCACCAATGACGAGCCAATCCGCTTCTGGGACTTCATGTCTGAAGTTCTGGTGGGCTTGGGATACGACGCCCCACGCTTCCACCTCCCATACGCACTCGTGTACGGACTTGCCCTTCTTCTCTGGGTGCTCACCTGGATCTTGCATCCCTTTATGTCTTTCAAACCCACCTTTACACCCATGAGAGTGGCTTTGGCCGGGACCTATCACTACTACAGCTGTGATCGCGCCAAAGAACACCTGGGCTACAAGCCGGTGGTCAGTCTGAAGGAGGGGATTGCACGCACGGTGGCAAGCTACCCTCATCTTAGACGTGGAGCTTGATGGTTTGAATGAAGATGCTGAAACCAGCAGGACGCACTGAAAGAACTATTCAAACCACTGATCGTCTCTGGAGGCTTTTGAAACCTTTTCTTGGCCTGCCCTGTTTTCACCAGCAGATGGCAGCAAATGGCTCCTCTACTCTTAGAGTTGTTGCATTCTGCTATCACACTTCTTGATCAGAAAAAGCTAAACTCATGACATAATTTTTCCTTTGATTAATTATTTATCATACTGTGCATATTATTGTGCAAATTATTAGACTAATTTTGTTAGTCAAAATGGACTAAAACAGCTGGATGATTGTGCATTTGAATGATTGACTGCCGTCTGCAACGTGAAAGTGATTTTTGGTTTGTAAACTCGACATGCTATATTTTCACTATTTTTGAAAAATATAAAGGACGTTTGCTATATTGCCCCTTGCTGGTATTTTTGCGGGTACCACCCAATTACTTGAATTTTGCTAGAAAGATTTTGAAAGTCTCACACTCTGCTGGTGTAATTACTTGAAGTCATAATTTCTTACAGATGGAAGATGGATGTATTCACATTCCTCAAATTAAATTCTTCATTAGAGGTACATCAAGCAGATTTTGCAGTGCTTTGTAACCCATTCTCTCATGTTTTGATAAAACGACTACATCTCATTACCTGTGAGGTAAATTTCATCCAATCCTGTTGCATTTCGTTTTGAAGCTGCACACCGCCACACTTTTTTTATGAAATGTTTGCAAAATTATGCAGCCAAATAAATGGGACACATCTTATAAAAAACTGACTAAAATAGGTGGATCTTCAGAACTGGGAGATTAACTTTTGCTCTTGATATTTTCTTCATTAATATAATTGAAAACATTAACTCAGACCAGCTGCTTTTGGCGTTCCAAGGCTCACCAGATTCTTCTTAAACCATTTCTATAAAAGGAGTTGTGGAGCCTTCTTCTAAAACCACTCACACCTGAAGCCCAGTCATCTGTCTTTTTCTTGCCACACGTCAGCACAATGTGTCCAATGACTTCTCAAGTCCCCACTGGATGCTCATTATTTCATGTGACTCATTGTAGCGCTCCTGGTGGGCGCTCCTGATAAGTGTTCCTGGAATTATAACGATAAAACCGAATCAATGTTGTTAGCAAAAATAGATACAATTTGTGTTGCTTCTTGTGCTCTGCAAGGAATAGCAAAGGCAATATTTACATAATAAGTTCTGCCCTTATGTTTTAAAATATTACTGAACATATTCATCTGTGTAATGTTTTAATAGCAGAGTTGCACCACCTTGTTTACTTTAAAATGTAGTAAATGCTTCTTATGTATTAACAGAGAAATGCTATTTTCAGTATTTGTGCTTCTTGGACCTCAGTCATTTATTATTATACATATATGCCTGTAATCCAATGAAGAATCCAAAGTTCTTCATTGGATTCCACAAAATATGAGATTTGATATCCATCCTACCCAGTTGTAGTTTATGTTGTTGGAAAAGTAAGATTCATAAATTTTAGGTGAGGCAATCCTTATAATGCACATATAACCAAAGATGATGCAGCTTCTGCAACACCAAAAACTTTTCTTTAAACACTTTTTACAGATTATGTTGCTTGTGTGTATAACCAACACCAGTTCTTCATCTTTAATTTTTCCCCCTCATATTAATCCAGTTTGTTTAGCAGACATTTTGATGGGAGTATGAAGGTAGAACCAGCAGCTTTTGGTCCACCTGTGTGTAAACCCTAAAGTAGCACCAATGTCTTTTTCACAGTTTACTTCAAGAACAAGACTTCATTGAGAACCTATAGGCATATTTGTAGAAAAGCTGATAAAACAAAAACATTCCTCTCGTGGAGTTATCTAATTCAAATATCGTACTATCTAACTTAAAGGTCACAAGTGCAGTCAGATGGAACCGGGAAGTGAACATCTCACCGTTCAAACATCTGCAGCTCAATATTGGGGACGTTAAAGTTACTCTAAAAATTTAGGGGGAAAAAAAGAACCTTTTCTGTTACGTTCAAGAATAGCTTTCTGGGTGATTTTAGGATTTAGGAAATGGAATCGAGAATAGCATTGCCTTGTAAAATGCCTGGTTTATAATCGTAAATTAAAATATCTTTCTTTAGTTACAGCAGAAACATCTCATGTTGAAAATTTTCAATAACATATTTCTTCCTTTCTTTCATCAGAAATCAGATCAATTAACTGAAGCATTTTTGTGATGTAAACTTGACTTTTAGCTGTAAATAGGCCATTTCTTTGAGCTATTATACAAAATGGGAAAGACTAGACAACTTTATAATGTCAAACAACTAAAATATATGTTGTTCTTCCTAAGTCAGAAAAAAAGCTTCATGCCTAAATGTGGTCATGGCTCCAGTCAAAGAAATAATTAATGAGTTTAAAACAGCATGAACTGTTATAAATAAGTCTTGAGAAATTTAGATTATTGCCATCCACAGTAAGGAGAAATAAATTGAATTTTAGTGTGTGTCCATGATAACCATTAGACTGTGCATACAAGGTGACAAGGAAGAGCTTTTTCTGTCTTAACATCACCAATATGGATGTGCGGCATTTGTTAAATACAACTAAATGTTAACTGGACGAGTGATTTTCTTCAATGACTCGGTGCCACACCTTGGAGGATTGGCCGTCCAACAGAATTGGTTGTGTGAATTGTCTGGTTCAAAATATTAGAGGTGTGTTTTTTTGAAATGCATCATAGATGACAAGGTGGAGCTCACTAAAAGTTTCAGAATGGTGGAGAATCTGAAACCCAACTAAAATAAGTTCTCATACTTTTCATCAGGACAGTGACCTAGAAATAGAATCAAATCAAAAGTGATTAGGCAGATATGAAACCAACCTTTTTTCCATGGCTACGTTTGTCTGCCAAGATTAAATGTTGTAGAATACTTGAAGATAAAAGTATCACACAATACAGAGGACTCGAAGCTCAAGAGATGGTTTCCAAAGGGGAATAATCAAAGCTTCATCTCTCTAAGTGCCAACTTTGAGAAATGTTAAAGAAAAAGATTTAACTACTGTTCTGTTGAACAAGTTATTTACAAAGTTATTGTTATTGTTTTACGGAACAACTGATTTTGTTTGAAAAAAAAAAAAGCACTTTTCTACATGAACTTATTCTGCTATGAAATCTTTACTAACGGTGAAAAGGCTCAAAGAGGCTCCTGTATATCCTGTATTTCATCATTCTGGGAGTGGAAAAAGAGGAATGGTTACATTCAGACTGCACAGGAATTTCATAGAAATGTGAATGGTTTTAAGGGTAAGGAGAGCAAACTATTAAAATTGCTGACAGGTGAAGTAACACCGATAATTATGTTGATGCAAGTACAGCTGCTTTTTATTTTGAAATGTGTGACTGACCCGAGCGTTGCCTTCAGCCGTGTCCTCCAGGACAATGAACCCGGCCGCAACACAAAAATGAAAAATCATACTCAAATAAGAATAAAAAGGGAGGACAAAAAAACCCAAACTGAGTTAAAGCTTAAACTGCAGATGAGCTGATCATGTCGAGTCAGTGTTGATTTTGGCCACAGATTTATTCATACAAAACTCAACAAACCTTTGCATTCCAAAGGAAACAACAAATACAATCCAGACTTCCTCCACTCACTTGAAAACCAGTGACAGAAAACTATTTAAGGAATTTCACTGAACACAATAGATGGTGAACACACAACACAAAAAGTCTTTATACTCTGACTTTTTTGATCGTTGTGAAGGCATGAACCCTGAAAACCATCAATTCACAATCAGCCGGGATCCTCTTTGGGACTGGAAGCCCGAGTTACACGCGTCACTTACTACACAAGTTTCTGATCAGTTCAGCCGCGACATTGTTGCAATTCCAATTGTTGGTGTGGTGGAACAGAGGTTGGGGTTAAGTTCAGATACTTTGCATTCTCATTTTAATTTTGTGCCAGCAGCACCCTAATGATTCATTTATGAAGTCAGAGCTGCAGGCCCAGGCCGTCTGACTGGTTTGGAAAGAAGGAGGATTATCCACGTAGATACTCTGCTAACCAGAATGAAACCCTGGCTCTCGAATAAAATGTCCTGTTCCCGCCCCGTTTCTGTGACACGTTGTGAAATCCGCGAAGAGCCTCCGCTCTGACTTGAGAAGAAGGTTTTGTGAAAATATGAATCTAATGGGACATTGTTTATCTTGGCTGCTTACTGGCGGGGATTTTGCTGATTTTCATGCTGCGGCTGTTTTCATCTGTTGACAAAATTGCATGACATTTGCAGAAAACGTGAACTCATTTTTCTTGCCTTTCTCTTAAACAAACATCATCTCAGTCAGTCAGTCTGAGTAAACAGTCTGTTTACAATACGCTCTGTGGCCCACTATCAAAGCCTGACCTTTGCAAACCCAGAGCAAAATGGCAAAAAAAAAAAAGAACCTTCAAGGTTTGTGTTTTAAATATGAAGCAGCAGTTCAAGATGTTACAGAAGATGTCACCATAAATCAAGTCTCAATGCTTTTGTTTCCTCGGCTCAGCTCTTCGCGCTGCTCTTGATTTTGTTTTAATGATGTGTGCTTGCTTCCCGGCTTTTCCTGCCCACTGAGCGTGACACGAGCATTCCCCACAGGAGACGCGGCTGCCACCCGCCTCATTTATGTGTGCCTTGCTCTGCACCTCGTCCTCATCCTCCTCTCGCTCCCTGTTGCCTTTTGCTCATGATGAAGAACTGATCATCCTCCACCTGCGCGACAGGTACATGCTTGCTGACTTTCTAGAACAAAGCACAGATGTGGTAAACAAAGAGAATCAGTTCTTAGCAACCTCCACGACACACACACACACAAACACGCATGCATGCACGCTCGCACACACACTGCTCCACCCCACATCCACCTTCCTCGACTGGCTGGGCTTGTTAGAGCTCACGCCCGTACCTGTTTGCTAGTTTGCTGAGACACCTGTCAGGGACGAAAGAGTTTTCTTCTGCTCACTTTGGCCACAATCAGCTGTGTGAAGAGTTGCCCTGTTGGATATTAGGGTGGAACAGGTATGTACTCTCACTATGAACTATCTGCCTTGTTTATAATGTTATTTAACAGATAATCTTTGCAGTTTTTGTCATCAGAAGGGAATGTTTGCCTGCTTAGACTGATGATTATCACTGTTTGCCCAACTTATTTTTCTATGTCAGCTCAGTTGCCTCTCATCTTTAGCGCTTTCCTTTAAAAGCTACTGTGTTTCATTAATGATTTATCATGTGTGCGTGCTGCCAGGATAAAAATCCTTTCTCCATTTAGAGTCACTTTTTATTCAGGACAACATCCCTCGGATACATTTATCCGAGGGATGTTGCTCTGGAGGGGATAAATTAAAAACCTCAGCCGATTTAGCTGTTAATATTTGCATTCCCATTTTGAAAAGTCCCCCCCCCCTTCTCAGTTTTGCATAAACTGTGGCCTGCTTCGAGATAAGGAAACAGTCACTGAACTGTGTTTTTGTTTTGTTTTTTTCTTTTTTGTAATAATGCCCAAGGAATTTTACCTCTGATCAGCTTTTTTTCTCGATCCTAAATAATTTGTGGGATCGATTAATTTGGAAATAAGCAACGAGACGTGACTCCGAGCTGCTGATGTAGGAAGATGGTTATTTGTGTGTTTCAATTCTTATGGAGGCAATTGAAGGATTTTTCTCTTGAAATGTGGCTGGACCAGATGAGCTGCATTCTTGAAGGATGAGAATGAGGAATTTCTGACAGCCTTTTGGGGAGGGAACATACCATGGGAACAACCATATGAAAATATGCTAATTCTAAGATAAGGAGCTGTTTGCTGATCACACACTTTCTCTTCATGAGGTTTCTTACTGATGTATTTTTCAGGTCGCCTGTAGGGGAAAGCACAAGAGATCCCACCAGAAGAAACATGTCAAGCGGTGAGATGACTAATTAATGTGATCTAATTATGATACCATGTACTTCCTACAATAATAGCTGTTATTGCTCCTCTGTATGGAGCTGTTATGATTTAGCATATTAAGACTTTATGTGCCCTGTGAAATAATGTGAGGGCTACAGCCTTCACTTGTCCCTAAAGGTTTAAAGAGCCAATAGTCTTTTGACTTTCATGAACATAAATTTAGTTTTGAGAATCAATAAATTGACACTAAGTGTTAATAGGTCTAATGTATTAATTGCTCATCAAGTCATCGCCCATAGTCACATTTTGGCTGAATTCCCATTTTCTCTTTCACTGCTTCCTTTTTTATAAGCAGCTTTTCCGTTTTACACCAGAAAGTAGCGTACAGTGTTATTTACTACACAGTTTTACAACTTATCTTGCTGAAAAACATCAAACTTCTCAAAACAGTTATTAAGGCTATACATTTTCTGAACAAAAGAAAATGTATGTTTTACTTTGCTAATCTTGTAACCCTTTATTTGAAGTCTGACCTTGAAACATTTAAACTTACCACTGATGGGATCATTTTAATAGTGAGTCAAGCTGAAAAGGACGGTGGTGGAAATCCAACTTATAACTTTGTTTAAACCCTTCTGTTGTGTCATTTGTCTTTTATAATCCATTTCCTGGAAGGAAGGGCCTATTTTGATTGGTCAGCTAAAGAAAATGGCAAACCAGGAATGATTAACAACATAATTATGCAAACAAAGCGGAGATGTATCACCCAAAATATATGTTTGATGCATTTTGGAAATTGGAGCTTGGATCTGGGAATGTAGTCACCCCCAACCTGAGTGTAGTTTTATTGCTTGTTAGAAAACCATTGGAATTTCCTAATTGTTGCACTAACCAAAACTAGAAATACAAGTTAAGTATGTTCTATTTCACTCTATTTTATCCCTTAGTTGAAATAAAGAAACTCATTTACTTTTGGAACTTAGTTTTGAGCTAATAATCACTTTTAGGATTTAGGAGGTTTGTAATTAACCTCGTTTATCCCATGTTCATAAGCTCACCACTTTTAAAGTGTCATAACAATAAGACACGTTGCAATGCATGGTCATGTTTGTGTCCCAGAAGGAGACCGAGCATCTGTGCTTCGCACCACCAAAGTACGAACAAAGCTGAGGGGAGACGGCAGCTGGCTGCAGCGCCGCGATGAACCTCAGGCTGAAACTCAGGAGGAGGAAAAGCCATGGTAAAGCACACGTCTTCAAAGAGTCCCATCCATCTCATCAGCTGCCCAGTCACTCGGAGAGACACAACTACATTCTCCGTGCAATCTGTGCAGGTTGGCAGAAGTTAGAGCCAGGCGTTTGAACGGAACTCCCATTGAAACAAGCCCAGTTTCCTCACCAGTAAACTCCACGCCGCCACCAGTAAAGTCTGACACTGAGAGGTAAAACTGTATTTTGAATAAGATTGCAGGTTTACTTTAAACATTTTTTACTTTCATTTGACCACATCCCTGTCTTGATTTTCAGTAAACCAGCAACACAAGGATATCTGATCAGGTAGGAGAGACATTCACTCTGATCCAAAAAAACAGGTCAAAATATAAATCAGACTTTTTTTTTTATCTTAATCAAAAGCAGACTCAAAACATGAGAAAACAATGGAAAATGTTGCTTATTTCAGTTGAATAATAATAATTATTATTTTTTATCTCATATGAATTCATTATTTTCAGAATTATATATTTAAAACTAATTTAAAAAGAACAGAACAGAAATGTTATTGGAGTAGGTCACAAGAGGTCACTGCTGAAGAAACAAATCAAATAAATGGAAAATTGAATGAAGGGAAGATATGTGGTAGAAAAAAAGTTTAGGTCATGGACTACAAGCACTACGTTTCTTAAGTTGAAAAATCCTAAACTAAAAACTTCAGATGTACCTCAGATGAGCTAAGAGTAAAAGAGAACTTAGTGTCCTCTTTTAAATTAAGTTTTCTATTTTTATTGGAACTCAAAGTCTCAGTGTCTGGAGGAAGAGTGGTTGGTGGAGGCCCACTGTTTTATTACAGATGTAATCCAGCCTCCTTCAAATATATGTGTTTTCAGTCATAATCTAATGCAACTGTATTAATGTTGGGATGCTGAAAAACAATGCTAATAACAACATTCCTTGTTCCTTTTGCCTATAGAGGTGTTTTTACTAAACTAGAAAAGCCTGTTTCAACTCCATCATATAATGGCACAAGGTAAAAGCATCATCCCTTTAAAAACAGCGGGTTTAATTGCACAGTGAGAGCTGAAAAACACATTGCTGCATGTAAATTATTATCTTTTTTTTTTTATCTCAGCACACCAAAAACATTCACTAAAAAGCCTTCAGAGACCTACAAGAGGATGTAAGTGTACGAATAAGACTTCCAGATAATTGCTTGCATCTCGCTGAGAATGTTATGTTTTTCACGCGGTTTGTGTTTGTGCTTCTGCTCTGTAGAGCCCCTCACATTGTGAGGAACACTTCAGAGAACGCCGAGGGCCAGCTCAGCTTCGAGGAGCAGGAGAGACGGTGAGACTCGGCTCCCGCTGAGGAGCCATGTGCCCAGAAAAAAACCCCAACAAAAAAAACATTCTGGGTAATATCACATCGTCTTACTGTGCAGGACGGAGGCCGCCCTTCACGTTATGAAGACAAAAGCAGTCCAAAAACGATCCTATGTTATGTCTGCTGCTAAGCTATATGAGTACGTATCATTTAGGTTATATCTGTAATGGATATAATGAACTTTAACCTGATTCTGGAAGTGGTTATGCTTCCAATCCATCCCAATTTGCTTTGTAGAAATCGTATTTATTCTAAGCGTTTGTTTCTAAAATCTTCAGGACTAAAGATACACCACCTGACACTTCTGTGGCCACCAGCAGTCCTTCGTTTGTGGCTAGAAGGTTTGAGTTTCTTTATATTGTGTTTGATTCTGGAGCCAAAAAGAAACAAAGCTTGTTCTCAAATTTCTATGTTTTACTATTTACACGTCTCTCTGTGTGTCTGCATGCAGGGTGGAGATTTTCGATGATGCCGACAGCGCGGTGGAACCATCCCCTGCTGTTCCTCCCACATCTGCTGCCTCTGCTCCTGCACCCAAACCACAGACAGCGTGAGTCTCGTTTCATGTTTCATGTTTACTGACGACCTTAAATAAGGCGAAACTGTTGGCCAGTAACATAAAATGTTGAAAAATCTTCCTCCTTAGCCAAATGAGTGTGATGACACAACCTTAACAAGACTTGTTTTATTTAAGTTATTTAAGATCCAAGTTTCTGGTTGCAGAGTATTGGGAAGCCCGCACTCTTACATCAAACTTTTTGCTGGACCCCAGGGAACTTTTGCAGAAAAACATAAACTTTTGATGAACTGGCAAGGAAAAAAAAAAAAGAAAAAAAGATAAACCTTCTCTTTCTGTCTCTATTTCTTAGCAGAGCTCAGTTCTTAATCTCTCCAGCCCAAAGTGGTCTTCAGTTCTGAGCCCTTGTCCTCAGAACTAAATGTGATTGTCTCAGCATTTCATGTGTTAGCTAGAAAAGTAGAGAAACTGTGATCAGTCTTTGTTAGTTTTAACATATCAAGTACATAAAGAAATGTTATCTCAAGCAACATTTTTAAAAACGTTTGTAAAATTTGTCCCTGTTTTATTACCGTTTTTACTATTGCAATCACATCTACTGCGCTTGATGTGGTTTCAAATTTGAGTATGTCTTATTCTTTCACATTTTTGAATGGAAATTAGCCTATATTTCATCTTTTTTGCATGTATGTATGTTCACAGCTCCAGTATTGACACGATTGCTGCCTTGTCCGACACCCTCATTTCTTTGGACACAAACCCCAGCAAACCCCAGGACACAAATACCAGCAGGTATTTACTGAAAAACAACACAAAAGCAAGTCCTACGCATTATCAGACAAAAAAAATAAAAAATAAATAAATAATAAGACCCTCTCAGTTTAACATCGTTGCCCAAAGGCCCCCAACTCTACACTATTTGATCGTGACTTTTCTTTCCTTGCAGCACTGAGAACAACAAGCAAGAGCTGGCAGAGGAAGAAGGAGGCCCGGTGGACAGTCCCACCCCAGAGGACAGGTAAACAAAAATCAATAACCGCCTCACTTGTGCCGTAGCGTGGCTGGCAGGAACACAAATGTGCTCTGATTTTCACTCTGTTCACTTCAGAGTAATCACAGAACACACGTCTCCATTTTTGGTGCCTTAAACGTGAGACATGACTGTCCTAAATTACATTTGATTAAACGCAGTACAAACATGTTTAATAAAGAGATGTTTCTGGGCTTTCTTGCCAAACCAGGTGCTTTCATAACATACTGATCTGTTTGGGTTTTTTTTGTTCTTTTATTTTTTATTTTTTTGCCTCTTCCTCTCTGCAGTGTTGAACAGGAGCCAGATAAAGCGCCCAGAAACGGTGAACCAATAACTGGCGATCTCCTAGGTTTCAGTGATGGGTTCGTTAAAAATTTACTCTTTCTCTTTTTGAAATTAAGAAGAATTTTTTAAAGTTATCCATAAGGTGGCACTGTTGGATCTCATATAAAGTCTCTCATGTGTTTTTGAGTTGCCTGTAGGAGCTTGAAACAACCCCAATCTGAAACCCTAAGCCCCTCTTTCTTTATCAACTTCTTGCTTTCTGCTTCTGCAGTCCAGAAGAACCAGCAGAGCCTGTTCCATCAAGCCCGGGACGCTGGAGTCAGGATCTACTCACTGGACTTGGCGGGTACAGGAAAAGGCTCTTTATCCCCTCAAACTGCTAATTCAGACCCATTTGAAGAATTAGTCTCTCTTCAGTTGTAAATCTCTAGTTGCTTTGTTAGCAACTAGCAAAGCATCACCTTAACTCACCTCGATATAGTTCTAAAACTCTTCCCCACTCTGGATTTTTCTGTGTAATGCCTGCATAGTGAGTCCAGTCCTGCACAGACATCTGACACCCTGAATCTCATGACTTTGTGTCATTATAGTGAACACAGAGCCATGCAGGTGAGAAAAGCCCGATTTGACAGCTCACGCTTCCCATCTTTGCCCTCCTCTTGTGTCAGTAGTTTCTTTTTATTACCGCACATAGAGGAGACAATCAACCCTGATTTATGAGATTCCTTTTCATCACAAACCCAAAGTTTAATCCACTGCTCCGTGACAGAAACAAACAGTCTCCGATTCCTGAATGAAACGACTTTGAAACTTTAAAAGCATTTCATTTTTATCTGCGCACACGTCTGGAAATAGAAAAGAGCGCTCCGTGCTGATTAGTATTTCTGCTTTTGTTTTTGTCTTTCCACCAGCCTCAGCGTGCAGCAGCAGCAGGAAGAGAAGCAGACGGATGAGACAGCCGTGGAAACACAAAGGTAGCGGGAGATGACAGGCTGCTCTTAAACAATTATCTATCTGTGCAGAGCTGCTCCCTCGAAGAAGCACGATATGCAACGTAATGATTTATGCCGACTCTGTCTGCAGTATTGGCCTCACAGTCACAACAATGTAACGACCAAAGCTGTGATTATTCCTGACAAAGAGCACTCATGGAAAGAAGAAGAAGAAAAAAAACTTATTCAGACAGTCTTCTTGCTTGTTAAATAGTTCAGTGGATTTCAAGCTTTCCTAATGGAGTAACACTCTAAATAGTGTATGACAACAGCAACAGTAACCTTTACTTGCCCTGGTTTTTTTTTTGTTCCCATCATGTCATTCATTCCTCTCTGTCTTCTATAATTCTGTCTTCCTATCACCAAGCCAAGAGAAGATTTTATTCACCGTGCAAACTTTTCATAATTCATCAGAAATTGATGCGATAGACAAACACAAAGCAGAGTATAATTGTGAAACAGATAAAATAATTAGCCTCCTTCACCTTAAAACTCCTTCACCGCATTCAGGAGCAACTTAGCTCAAGTGAGCTATTCTTTAGGCAGTATCATGCTGTGGGGATACATTACTTCAATAGGAAGATAGACAGTCAATCAAATCTGAAAAAGAGCAATTTGGCAAAAACATTTCGTAAACATTGTTTCTAGATGTGTAAAGGTGGTAGAAATTTTATTCTACAAAGTATTAAATCAGAGAATATATATATAAATGGATATATATTCATCCATTTTCTAACATTCTCGTCCCTAGAGGGGTTGGGAGGGGTGCTGGTGCCTATCTCCATATAACATTCCGGGTGAGAGTATGTATGTACATACATCTTCTACATTTAAATGTAGTATTTCCATTTGGTAAAGACACCCCTGATTCTGATTCCGATTGAGCTTGGCCCTGTGCCCGCTCTCTATTTCTGTTTACCATTCAAACTGCATTGAATCTTTCCATTATGAGTCAATGTGATCAGAATTCCTCAGACACCAGACAGGGCCGTGCTGACAATTGAGAGTGAAATCAGTGTGAAATTGTTTTTCAGCTCGGATGATCCGTTTGATCCAAATCCGATAGGGACTGCATCCCATAACAGGTAATCATATTGGTTTGGCGCTGTGACTGTCTTCCAGCCAGCCAGATAGCATCTCGGCATGCATAATGCAGCAGTTTCTGATTATGAGCCACTTTCCTCCTATTGCAGCTCCCCTGACCTGCTTGAGCCCTCCGCTGATGTTTCCATCAACAGGTACAGGAAGGATTTTCCAAATCCCTCCCTCTTTCTCCTCTAACCTCTGCTTGTTGCTCTGACACTATCATGTTGCTTCCTCACAATGTCTTCTTTGCTGCGCCTGCTGCTCCTAATGTAATCATCATTATTCACAATTGGCACCAATCACTCTTGAAGTGCTGCACATACAATGTATTCACCACAGCTTCCACTGTTAATGTGCTCCATTAGCAGTGGTAATCCTTGTCTATTTTACATTTTGTCTTTCAGTTCAGCAATAGCAGAGGAGACGAGGGAATGTTCAAGTCCAGAGTCCATGTAAATGATCTCATTATTTATCACTTCTGTTTGGCATTTTTTGTTTAACTTCCGGTTTTAACTATCTGTCGGTTTTGGACCAGTAAAAGCATGATGATTAACATCTGAAGACTTCAGCTTTGGCTGCCTTTTACTCTGATGGATTATTTTTATTGCATTAACTCTTCATATCTATCTGTTATTTCCTTCACAGCATTTTTGTATGGTTTAGCCTTTCCTGTATTGTGTCAGTGGTACGGTGTAATTTGGTCAGCAGATTATAGCATTAACACAAGGAAAATAATGTTGTTTTCCCCCCTATTATTATTATTTATTTTAATATAGAGGACATGCCCAATATGGTTTTATTTCCATTTGTGTAGTTTTGCTTTCTCTTTTTATTGTTTTCTGTAGATTTGTGTGTTGCGTGAGCAGTAACAATAACAATGTCAAAAGGTTCATGACCATGTAATATGTTTGTGGCTGAAAAGCGGAAAAGGGAAGGAACAGATATTTAGCTCCAGGAACTGATCTGAAACAGTGATTGTGAAACATTTTCACTCACATCCCAGTCTAAATTGTTTTGTTTTTTTAACATCGCCATCTTGAAACTCACACAAAATCCTCTTTAATTGGCACTGCGTACTTAAAAGTTGTGACGTAATTGGATGTGGCCTGTTAAATCAAAAGTTAACGTTTCCAAGTTTGAAGTTTCCTTAAACATCCAGTAATGCTTTTTATTCTGTGTACATTTTTTCCACACAGGACGATCATTACTTCCTACTTCCATGGCCTGTTATCCCCCAATGCAAACTTTCTTATGGTTTAGAGGTTGATCAAGTATTGTTTGTTGAACCTGTTTTGAGATGGCAGAAGTCTTGATGCCTTTCAGATTGGTGTTGCCTTTATTTAGATTGACCAAATAATCTTAATTTATATAAAAAAACACCCGGAAAGGTACTGCACCTACAATAATAATTGTGTATAGTCTTACGACAGAACAGGAGCACTTCTGAACTATCCCTTTATAGCTTCATGTATCTAACTTCAGTAAAAAAAAGTGCATATTTTTTTAAAACTGTCATTATGTCATGACAGTGCAATTTGAGACAGAGAATCTGTAAAGCTCCTTCGTCTTTCCCCACTTCTACTGTTGTCATCTGCAGAAATGCGATGTTCCCAGTAAAAGAAAAAAAAACTATTTTGTGTTCAATACCATCAAAAAAAATCTTTCAATGTATGTCTGTTTCTTTTTTTCAGACACGCAGAACCATACTTTGAATACTCATGTCCCAACACATTGGAACCGTAAGTAGTTTATAAAGAACCTCAGCTGCACATTGACTAATTTTTTCTCTTTTAACTTTGTTTATTATTTACTCTCTGAGTTGGAACTTATTGGTCATAGGTGATGATGAAAATAGGTCAGATATTTGTTACTACATTTCCTTCATAGCTGTGACAAAGAGGTCAGCCACCAGTAACTCTGCTTTTTATAAATGTACAGAGTGAATATGCCAATTGACTCATGCTACTTTTACATCCTTGTTTATGTTCCAGGACCAAAAAACGAGTTTTCTATGAAGAAATCATCGTGAAGACAATTCCATGCGAAAAGGAGCCTGAGAACAATGCAGAGGAAGAGGAAGAAGTAGAAGAGGAAGAGCAGCTCAATGTGGTGGAGAAACAACTCCATGTCTACTTTTTCCCGGAGGAGAAAGTAGAAGGGGAAGAGGAGAATGAGGAGGAGAACGTAGAAGAAGAAGAGGAAAATGAGGAGGAGAAAGTAGAAGAAGAAGAGAAGTATGAGGAGAAAGTAGAAGAAGAGCAGAATGAGGAGGAGAAAGTAAAAGAGGATGAGGAGGAAGATCAAAAAGTAGAAGAGGAAGAGGAGTCTATGCAAGAAAAGGAAGATGAGAAGAAAGGAGAGGATGACGAGAAAGACGAAGAAAGGTATGTTTATTAAGATTGAAATAAGAAAGTACACATTAAAGCCCCGCTTTGAAGCGGTATCTCAAAATACAATGTATGTCAATCACTGACCCTTAAAACACACCTGAAAGCAAGGTCAAGTTTCTTCATATATCAAAGCAGTGAAGACCTGGTGAATAGAGACAGAGATCTGCTTCATCATCTCCTTATAAAATCTGCAGATTTCATCCTCGCTGAATTGTGTCCACACTTATTGACAGCTGTTGATTAAAGTGTGATATGTTTTTTTCCCCATTCACTTTACAGGGAGATCAGTTAGTTTATGGTTTTATTAGTGTCAGACTCTATAATGAAAGTGCTTTCACTGGATGTTTATCTTAAACTTATCTTCTTTGGAGCTTTGTGTCTTTTATTTCTCTCTAAATTCTTAGCATGTGATGCTGCATGCAGGCCTGATTTGCTGCACCTCAGCTGGAACAAGTTAGGTAATCAAGTTAAGGAATCCAAATTGAATCAAAGATCTGAATTTAGCTGTAGTGACTTGCAAAAGGACTTGTTTAACTTGGTCATATTTATTTATTTTTTGTTATATTATGACCACAGATTATTAGCTGCATTTTCCCCCATCTTACTCTGCTGGCCAAAAATAAAACCCAGCATAATCAATTTCATTTAGATGTAATCTAATAAATCACACAGCATAATTTTTTATCATTTCACCTTAATGGAACATTTGTTCAAAAACAGCTTTATGACAACCAAGGGTAAATCAAGGGTAGAATTTTGCATAAGTGAGGTAGCAGAATAATGTCGCAGCAGAATTAAACACTACGTACGATGAAAAAAATGGGGTGATTGTGTACATCTTCTTGAACACAATCCACACTGTGAATCATGGTGGTGGCACCATCATGGCGTGGAAATACTATCTTCAACAAGGAAGCAGATGAGCGTTCACAGGAAGATGGTTGGATGATAAAAAATAAAATTGCAAATGACTTAAGGCTGGAGTTTCACTCTCCAACAAGACAATCACCCCAACCATGCAGCTCGCGCTGCAATACACGGGGTGTACATCAAAGCACATTCATGTTCATGTGTTAAAAAAGACCCATCAAAGTGCAGACCTAAGACTTATTTTTAATATTAAATATTTTCTCCAGCTCTCAGGATTCCTGGAACTACACATGGGAAATCCCTCATGAGACAAGCACAGTGGAGAGGTGAACACACTTTTTTTTTTTGCGTGCCGCACACACTTCCCTATTCTTCGTTCATTCTCCCCTTTGATCTGTGTCCATTACCAGCTAAAAGCCTTTCGATGTCTGTCTGTCTCCCCCTCTCAGCCAAGAAGCCACTGCAGAGGACAAGGCTGAGAATCAGCAGACGGTGATCATGTTTGAGAGAAAGTAAGTTGTCGCTTTATTAAGAGCTCCAGGTGCACATTGGCTCCTTTTATCCCCGTAACCTCGTTTCCTTTCACTGCGGTGGAGGAGCTGGGCTTTTACAGCATTTACTCTCTGAGGTGGAAGTTATTGGGCACTGATGCTGATGAAAATAGGTCAGATATTTGTTACTACCTTCCCCTCACAGCTGTTGCAGACATGTCTGGCCTCCAGCAACTCTGCTTTTTAATAAATGTACGGTGTGAATACACCATCCGCTCATGTTACTGTTACATGCTTGTTTGTGCTCCAGGTCCACTGAGAATGACTCCCCTTGGGATAAATGGACGACCCCCACTGTTTATACCATCTCCACTGGGACGGGAGATGACGATGAGGAGGAAGCAGAGGAGGAAGAGCGGTATTTATTTTTTTCATTCAGCTGTATTTTTGCTCCAATCTAAAGCAATCAATTCCCATTAGAAATAATCTTATCAGAGTGCATCATTTTCATTATTTTCTGTTAGTATAGATAGGTACAGTTGTGCTGTTACAGCCTCATTAGTTATTTAGAGAACATCGATGAGCAAACAGCGGCATGACATCCAAGTAACACAGCAGAGAAGTCAAGGATAATGCTTCAATACAATAATAAAACATCATGCTAAACATCGAACGTGCTGCATTTTTGTTGTTCTGCTCTGCTGACAGGGTTGTTAAGAAGTTCAGACTTTTATCTAACTGAGAACCACAACCAAATCTTGAACATATCTGTTGACAGAAGCTCTTCATTCTGTCTCACTCGAAGAATAGCTGGCAGACATTCCCACAACAAAGGAATTAGACATTTTTCAGGTTTTATCTACACATTTTTGTAAGAATGTGGGTTGTTTTTACCTCCATTTGACCTCCCATATTCCACACAAATATCCCACTCAGGTTTGGGCTTGAATTATGACAAAATGTGAAGAAGTTCGAGGGCTATGAATTTTCCTAGCACAGATTCCTGCTTGTGTTCTCCTGCTTCCATTCATTTTGGTAACACAGCTTTTTAAGCTAAATTGATTTGCGCTAAATCCCTGTGGGAACACAGATTCTGAACACTTTACTCAGGCTATACACATACCAACAAGTCCTGTTTTATTTATGACTTTCTACAATTAGAGAGGCATTCCCATTGCCTTTCAGTCTGGCTTCATTTGGCTCCCTCTCTCTAATTATTGAGCCACCACGTGTCAGATTGGTGACGTGCATTGGAGTCGTCATTCTGTCAAATCCGAGCCCAGTGAATGACCCCGTCTTATGACGGGTCCCATAACCCTCCACGCTCCTGTCATCTGTGTGTAAGAGATGACGCGGAGGTTTGCTCTCTCTGTCTGCAGGCCAGCCGTGGGAGCAGAAGAGCAACGGGTCCCAACACCAGAACTGGAAAGCAAAAAGTGAGCATCTCTGCAGAGTGGAAGCTTAACTCGAAGTTAGAATTTGCACCCACATTAAGTTACTTTCTGCTTTAGGCCTTTTGTGTATGTGAAGCAGTACGTCGACGCAACTGAGTCTTTGCTCAATCTCAGGGACCCATTCCAGGGGTAAGAACGATTATTTGTTTATGTGTAGAAGCAGTCATATAAAACCATTAACCAATGTTGCTTGGATGATGGTCCATTTTGTTCCTTTCCTGTAGGTCAGATGATTTTGCACCAAGCTCCAGCAGTTACTTGTACAGTAGCCCCTCCAGCTACAGCAGGTGATACCCCGGCACATAGACCTTATTCATGCACCAAGACTTGAGAGTGTAGAGGGGATCGATACGCACACCCCTGTTAAAATTGAACATAAACCATCATAATTAATTTCCAAACTTTTTTCACCTCTAACATGACATATTTTCTGCTCACTTCAAATAAGATTAACCTGAGATAAAGTTCACCTGGCCTAGTAGTTCAGCCTGACATTTACTTATTTTCTTCCTCTAGGTAAGGCCATAGTTTGCAGAAAGTACAATAAAATCACACAGTATTTTATATACATACTATTGAACAAAACTGTGTCAGATTTGTCTCAGAAGTAGGAGTGAAGAATTACGTCATATAGATATTTTAGAGAATTGTGTGTAGCACTTAGTAGTTCTGAAGTGCTAATGGATATTTAATATCCGTCTCTCAAGCCATTTCATATCCAGTGAATTAATTGACTTTTAGTAGTTTAGTTGAATCAAAAGATGCTTTAACAATGTCTTAGTTTAATGGGGTGCACACTTCCACACTCACTGGCATTGCAGCTATTTTATTATGTACATTAGCCCCCTAACAGCTTTGCTTGTTTTTAAGTTGAACTGTACAGGATTAGTGTCAGGTTAAAGGTGGAAATTATCCATCATGGTCTCAGTTTTTTTTTTGTAAGAAAGCCATTGCTTTTTACAGGGGTTGTCTACATTTGCGAGATTCACCGTATGCCGAGTCTTTGGGAGAATTTTACATATTTACCTAAGAGTGTGTTTATTTCAACTTTAATTGCTATACTTCTCCTTCTGTGCCTCAATATGCCACTTGCAACTCTAAAACTCTCTTTTTAAGTGCTTCAAGCGTTTACTGTTCTTTACATGAGGCCACTCTGGCTGATCTTGTTCAAACAGAGCGTTGTGTTATTTAACATCAACCTACATCACTTAATCCACGTACTGAGACAAAATCCAGTTTAAGCTTAAGGTCCGTCTCCTGCCTTGTTTATTTTTCCGCTTGTGATACAATCAGACGTGTGCGAGTGGCAAGGCAGAAATTCCAGGAAGCCATCTCGCTCAGCTGATTGGGGGACTGAATAGGGGCGTCAAAAGGATTATTTACACGTATTAAAGCAGATCAGCCTTTATTGTTCTAATCGCTGTTTCCCTCCAGGGTCTCCCTGTCGTCCACCTGCACATACTGCAGAAAGCAGGTGGGCAACGATGCCAAGATCAGCATCGAGCATCTCAATATTAACTGCCACCCTGAGTGCTTCAAGGTAAATGGCCTCCATTTGTGGAATTTTTTTTAATAGCGCTCTCTGGACCTAATGGCACTCTTGGTAAAGATGTGTGAAAATTGTTGATATTAATTCATCTTTTATTGCAGTAGTTCGAAAAATATATAAAAATCCAACCTTTAGTGTGAGCGGATGCGTTAGGTCACATTATTAGCAGCTCATAACAAGTATATAAAATTAGTGTAACTCTGCTTTTCTAACTTGATCTATGCAACCATAAATTGCAATGAGCAATGATGACTTCCTATTTCCCTAAGGTATTATCATGCAGTTTCACTTCTAGTAGCTGTCAAGGCCTCCAGGTGTCCATAGCTACCACTGGATGCTGTCTAAAAGCAAACTGGTTGCTGGAAATACACATTTATGTTCACATCATTATAAATACAAACAGGCAGAATTTGCTAATCTCCTCTGGGAGATTAAATGGAGTGTATCTTTTGGTTTGAAGAAACTGAGACACTATGAGCTTTTCAGCAACAAATATTCAAGTTGGGTTTAAGCTAAAATAAACAATAACTCTGTTCAAAAGCACCTCCTTTCCACTGTAAAGCATAGTGAAGGATCTGTAGTGCTGAGAGTTTGTTTCTCTTGCAAAGGCCCAGCTGACATTGTTAAGAGTTCAAAGCATCATGAACTCTTTTAAAGACCATCTTTCAGCAAAACACGGCCAAAGCAACAGAGAAATTGTTCACTAGACACTAAATGAACCGTCTACCATGACCATCCCAGTCCCCAGACGAAATTATGTAGAGAACTTGAGGGTTGAAAATAAAGGATAAGTTAGAACCATCTAACATGTTTGTGCAGAGAGTTTTACCAGCAGGAGTGCCATCAAGTATGACTCTGATTTCCACCCAAACTTATTATTTCTTAGCATGTTTTCACACTTAAATATGCAAAAAGTTGTATTTTTCCAACAATGTCAGTGTGGTATTAAAGATGAATTTATCTGAAGATGTTGCCGAAATATGAATTGCATTTTCGACAGATGTTTTTCATTCCAATAAAATGGTTTCTTTGAATATTTTTCATGCTGCATTCCAACACATGAATGTCTTCAACTGGTTTTCAAGGCTTCAGTGCTTTCATTCACTGTTAAAAGATTTATTAAGCAGTAAGAAGAGATAATTTTCCTTGGAACGTCGCCTAAGATTATGCTGACTTATTTATTTTATTTTTTTATTCACAGTGTGAAGTGTGCAGTAGGCCTATGGGAGACCTTCTCCACAGTATGTTCCTGCACAACAAAAAGGTCCACTGCGAGAGCTGTTACGCCACGGTTATTTAATCCTCTGAGCTTTTCATCACCTCCTTATCCTTGTCCCCCCTCATTCATGGTCATTTGCATAATAAGTGAGAAGTATTCTGAAGTTTGCACCAATTTCTTTCTTACTTTGCAGTAACGCATTTTAAAGTGATAAAAAAAAAAGAAACTGAAATTGTCAGTCTGATAAAGTCATGTGGAACGGTCTATTTTTTGGGGGGTGATGAAGTATGTTTGTGTGTCAGTTACAATGAAGGATGTGTTTTATGTTTTTTTGTAAAGATTCACGATATCAGATGGGCTTGGACAATGCAATTTGATAACAGGAGGCTCGCTGTGTTTAAAAACCTTTTTGCTTATTTTACTCATCCTGATACAAAATAGTGTGTTGAAATGTACAATGCATTGCTAACAAAATAAAATGACTTACAACATCCTGGTATAAATGTCTTATAAAAATAGTGTGCTAGAAAACACACTATAGAATGACAATTATTGCACAGAGGAGTTTCGTGTGTTGCCACAACAAGGTCTGGGTAATAATATAAAGCATTTATCATGAAAATACAGAGTAGATTTGCTTTTGAGAACCGCTAGTGCAGAGGTTTCCGCCTGTGAAGTTGCATTTCTCAAACTCGCCTCTTCCTCGCTCTGTCACTTCAAGTAGCTGTTTCCATAAATGTGACTGGCTAATAGCCATTGGCCACATGTAGATTAACTTTAAAGAAGCACAAGCAGACCACTGGCTGCTGCCTTGATGGTCTTCACACACAGTTAGGCAGATCTCCTTGGGTGAACAGGACAGGTCCCCTTGGCTCTGCTCCAGTCCAGAGAAAAATGGGAGCTTTCCAGGAGCATTTGCCTCTCTGTCCCAGCTGCACAGAGAGCATTTCCTGCTTATTCCTCAAAGCAGAGAAGATACGGTAATGTCCTTCTAAAGCATCCCTTTGCCCAAGTGTCACATTGAATAGAAAATGAAAACCTGTTGTGGTGTACACAGAAACCCACCTTGTAAAAGTATTTCTAACCTTTTACATTTTTCCTTTCATATTTTGTATACATCAGTGAACCATACAATCACTGACCATAGGTGCTGTACGTTCAATATGAGCTCCGACTAATCGCAAAGATTATACAAAATATGTCTCTAGATGTGCAAAGCTTCAAATGGCTTTAAGCTGATTGAGATGATTGTGGTATTCATTTTAAGGGACTGTCTATTTGTAAACCATGCATCAGTTTTCACCCATTAAAAAAAAAAAAACTTCACATAAAATCCTGATGATACACATTCAGGTTTTGGTTGTAATGTCAAAATGTGAACAAGCTCCAGGGGTTGGGATACTTTTGTAAGACGCCATAATCCACGTATATAACGGTTTTCTGGTTCAGATGTGTAACCACGAGTCAATCCGTCATTTAGACAGAGGGGACTTGTAATATGGGCCCCCCTGCAGAGCTGGACGGGCGCCACGCTCTGTTTGTTTCCGAGCCTCTGTCAGTGTTTCCCTCTGGCTCTGCTCACAGCTATGTTTTGGATGTGCTTCCACAGCAGAGAGGGGTCCGACTCGTTGTGTCTTATCAGGGACTCCAGCCCCTCGGCCTGGTCGAGGCTCTGCCAGTAATCCTGTGGCCATATTTGCAACCATCTGCAGACAGATATGCAAACAGATTAGGCTAATTTCAGAGGCCGGCTCAATTAGACAATAAAACAATTTCTCTCCCCTCGGGTTGACAGAGCAGGCGGTATTCCCACCTGGCACAATCAGGAATTTAACGCCTACTCACCCGTCATCTGCAGGCAGGTCTTTGAAGTCTCCGTACCCCGGGCTGGGCAGTGGGCAGCCCATGTGGGAGTTGCTGGCCATTTTACGCTGAGGAGGTTGGGTTTTTTGGGGGGCTTTTCTATATGCCCTTTCTGCAGCCAATCGGGCATTCTCCTGGTCACAAACATAACATTCAAATCCGTTTAAGTAGTTAGGCTTGCTCATGTCGTTAACTCCCCACTCACGGGAGTCCAGGCCCTCCAGCAAGCGAGTGTTAGTAATCCTTCTGGGGTCCTTGAACTCTAAATATCTAACGTATTCATCATCGTTCTCATCCAGACGCTTGAGAAAGTCAGCGAGAGCTTTGGGAGAGGGAAAGCTATCTATAATTACGACAGAGTGGTCATTGGGCATCCAGTCAGCCACCACCGGGGAGCCTCGGTAGACGGGCACGCAGCCCTGATGGAGGGGCCGCCACAGCTTCTCCGTCATGTAATCTGGACACAGGCCATTCTCCAGCGCCAGGTGGAACTTGTAGCGTGCGACGAAATTCATGAATCCGGGTTCCTCGCCAGTAGCGGTGGCCGTGTCCTCCAGGTGTTCCGGTAGGGGCCTGTTGTTCAAGCATTTCCCGTAAGAGTCCACCTAAAGACGAGAAGGGGAGAAGGATGGAAGCGGGAGATGAGAAGAAGCAGTCAGGACACATTTATCATGGCAAAAAAGAAAACTATTCTGAGCTCAAACTCTATTTACTGAACTTGTGAAAAACATACAGAAACAGAAAAAGAGGGTGGATGGATTTTACAGAATAGGCAAAGGAAAAAAGAAATATTTTCCAAATCTACTTTTTTTTTTTTTAGTCCTATCTAGAGCTCGAAACACTAATCGACTTCCACACTTCTGGACTGCATAGAAACTCCTTTCAAAATAAATTACTCATAACACAAGACAAACTCATGAGACTGACCTTTGCTAATTGACTTTTAACATTCGACTTTAAACATGTTAGCTAGATTATCTGATTTAACAGAAATCTTTTTAGAGAGAGTCCTACAAGAGGCAGAGGACATTCCTCACTCTACAAATCATCTATTTCATGGTGAATTGAAGCTCCTGGCATCTGGGAAGAGATTCAGGAAGCCGAAATCAAGATCCACCAAAAACTCTTTTGTTAGCCAGGCCATAACTTTGATCAGTTTTAAATGTGATTGGGTCAGATCTAGTCATTCAGCCTGTGTTATTGACATTTGAACTGCTATTTCAAAGATTTGATTTTTGCTATTTTGCCAGTGTTGATGTGCGACTGTGTCTGTGTTTTAAGTTTTTTCCCACCTTGCTGCAAAGGCAATTTCCCTAGAGGGACAACAATGAAATGGTTCTGACACTGAGCATGTTTTTTTGAAGCCAGCAGACACAGATGAACATATATTTTTCATCTACCTGCAGAGAATGTCAAGTCCGGACCATTTGAAACTGCAGGAGCAGTTAGGAAAAATCTGCCTGGCAACATCAACGAGAGTTAATGTGATTTTTCACTGAAAAAGGTTGTGCTGACCTATTGCTTCCAGATAATATAGTACATCTTTCTGTTCCCAAATGGAGCAAAAAGGGCTAATGAAATCAAAACTACTTTCAGGTGCAGTTTAATAACAACTAAACAAAAACCCTTAAGGCTACTTAATAGAAACGCATTACACCAACATATATAGAACACTTGCAAATGATTCCTGAGCATCTACATGGCTCATCAATGTCCAATTAATCAATAGCAGACAGTATCTGTATATTTTTGTCATCAATGATGCTGACATGATGACAAATGGTGTTGTTCTCTTATATGTCTGAATGTATCCCCAAAATCTCATTCATTATAATTAAAGTAGAAACAAAAGCTCCAGCCAAGCACTATACCTCGATGTACTTCATGAGTTCGTGAACGTATCGGTCTCTGTCTGATGGCACGTCACAATGAGACTGCATGTAAAGAACTGGAGCCAAGCCCTCCCTCCTGAGGCGGTTCTTCTCCTCCAGAGACACAGCCACGGGCTCCAGCAGGTACTCCAGGGAGGGCAGCCACTGCAGGGTCAGGGGGTAGTCTGACTCCCTGCGAAATGTGGCCGTGTAATTAAACAGCCGGATTCCAGGTCCGTGAGAGAGGATGTAGTTGTTCATTGGTGACTCCTCGTGGAAAAGTGCCCAGGTCTGGTGCCGCAGGCGCGGTAGTGGAGCCTCGTATGCCCTGAAGTCTGTCCCGTAAAAGATGATGGATGCTGTCCTCTTGTACAGCTGGACCTTTTCAAGAACAAGTCGAGATGAAACAGCGTAACAATACTTATTATAGATGTACGCATATACACAGTGCTTTGCAGAAGTCTTATGCTCTCGAACTTCTGATAATGTTAAAGATGCTAAAACCACAAATTTCAATGTGTTTTATGACTTAGACCAGGGGCATCAAACTCATTTTGGCCATATCAACATCACAAAAGTTCTCAAAGGGCCGGTTATAGTAGAATGTATATATATATATATATATATATATATATATATATATATGTACAGTCATCCCTGTCATTTAATTAAGACAGCTGTGTTTTGGTGGGTGTTTTGTGCTGGTGCACTCGTTTCCTCTCCAGATGAGGGATTTAACACCTTTTTGAGATATTGAAAACTTCGGATATTGTTTTATAACCCACCTATGCTTCAAACGTCTCCCCAGCTCAATCCCTGACCTGCCTGCTCTTCATGATGCTGCCGTTCTCTAACGAAACCTTTGAGGCATTTACAGAACAGCTGCAATTAGACTGAGATTAAATCACACACAAATGGACTGTACCTACGCATAAGGTGACAACATCTAAAAGAAAATGGTGGGAGTGGATTTAAATTAAACAGAACAGAGTAAAGGGGGGTGAACACATAGGTACGCCACACTTTTCAGATTCCACTGAAAAGGAAAAAGGGAGAGAAGCATCAGTTTTGATCTACTTGTGTTTATCTATCACATACAATTATAAAATACTTTGAAGTTTAGTGTTCCAACGTGACAACCAGTGATAATACTAATGCAAAACACCGTATTGTTCTGCTATTCAAGCCCAAACTTCCAAGACTTTAGTTGTTGGCCCGTCTCGTACCTTGCGATTGCTCGTGACCAAGCAGGAGGACGTGGCGCAGTCGATGCGTTCAGTGTCACCGGGGAAATGTGGGAAAAGTCCCCCGCTCCACCACAGCAGAATGGGCAGCTCCCGTTTGCTGCGGCGGTCACTGTTCCCTGGTCCTCTGTATGAGGCGACAGAGGCAAACTCCATGTCCGACAAAGCGCTCTGTGGCTGAAAGGCTCCTCGGTCTGGCACATCCAACACGTCCAGGTGCAGCTGGTCTCCAGAGAGAGAGGCGAAGGAGACCCACACCCAGCAGAGGACGGCGAGCAGCCCCATACCCACGCAGGGCAGCAGCCTCCTCCTACCTGCCATCTGCGGAGCGGATAAAACAAACAATAAAACATGGGCTCCCCTAACCCCATGTTTACTATATGATGGTGTGTCAGGAACTCTGCAAAACATCTATGGCACTAACATCCCAGTTGTCCAGATGTATCGAAGCAGTAGCGTCATTCTTACTTATGTTACTGTGAAACCCTCAAAATGCACATTGAATATGTAAGAAATAAGATATGTATTTGTACTAAGAGTAAATCATACCTCTGATGAACACTCCTAACGGTTTATTCGCCAACATGAGTAACAACAGACTCTTCCTCGTCGCTTCTAATGTCTCCCTCCTCTGGCGCCACCTACAGCCAAGCAAAATCAGAGCAGCAGCCATCGCAGAATCAGTTGAGTTTGTTTACTCTTTTTTGTGTGTGTGTGTGATAATCTCAACACTTACTTGCTGTGTCCTTTCATGTTATGGTGAAATTTTGCAGATTAGGCAAATAGAATAATATGATTGAGCTCAGTTATTAACACAACACATCAAACGTCACAAATATAAACAGTACAAGTTACAGATACTATTAATATTTTTATGAAAAATATATATTGAAACAATGTCTCTGTTCAAATAGAAAAAAAAAATTTAACAGCTCGCTGCTCAGATATAGTATTCCACATACCTTAAATGTAACAGGAGAGGTTAATTGATATAGATCAATCCACAACTTTCTTGCTATCAGTTGTTCCTATTAGTTGTTCCTAACCAATGTTTCAATGTGTCAGCCATTTCAGCAGAACATGCAGTTATTTGATCTTTTAGATCTTTGAGTTCCTTTTATGAGATGATAATCTATTTTCACTTGGAGGAAAAGTCGTGTCAACTTTATGATCTGCCAGTCTTTACTTCTAAGGTCTTCATTTAAACTTCAGCTAATGTATAATTAAACTTATCTGATTCAGAGTCATTCAGTCATGCAGGGACATGCCACCAAAGAGCCTTTATTTGTTTCGCTGGAAGTTCTATTTTCTTTGGAATGCAGCCTGCCAAGCATCCTTGCTCTCCTGACAGTTAAGCGGGCTTGACTTAGTTTCAGTTGACTGAAAAAAAAAAAAAAAAAAAAAAAAAAAAACCAACAAACGCTGCAGAAAACAGTTTTGACTTTGTAGTCTGCACGCATAGGATTCACTGAAACCTTTCTGGTTACTTCCACTGGACAAGCATTTAGCTCACAGTCAGGCGTCTTCAGTGTTTACTGTTTAAAAGTCTATGCACAGTGTTTCAATTACAGATTTATTTACTAGTTCCGACGGTGCGAAAAATGATTAAGAGGTTTCTCAGGAAACACTTTGCAGTGTCAGGGCCACTGGCATCCAAAAGGCAGAAAGAACACTGGATCCAAGTCAGAATGTTAACACATCGAGGTTAATTCACAGAAAATACATTTTATTTTATAGATTTATCATGTTTTACATTTAAAGTATTATATTATATTATATTATATTATATTATATTATATTATATTATATTATATTATATTATATTATATTATATTCCTTGAGAAAATAAACTAATAAACAAACATTTTTCCAGTGCTTTGCGGGCTCTAGGACCCAGGTTCCCGCGTCTCTTTAACGCCACTGGGCACGTCACGACACGTCTCGGTCAGGGGAACCGGGCAGCCCTCGCAGTGTTATTCATCAAAAATAAGGTGAGTGATTAATTGTCCCTATATTGTCCCTATATGCGCATTCATATAGGGACACGAGTCAAATAAGGGGTACATTTTCTTTGTGCTCTGCATGAAGTTTTCTTTCTTTCATTCACATAGTTGTGACTTGGTTACACAGTGAGGCTAACGGTTAGCTTGACCAGCAGCAGAATGTCAACAAGCTGTCAGACTAGCCGCTTAGCTTCTGAACCGCTACGCTTCGCTTCATTGGCTGAGTGGGATTTTAGTGTCAGTTGCTCGTTTCGGTTCCTTGTTAACTTCTGCTTCCTGAACAAGTGAGTTCAGGAAGAGTTTTTTTTGTTGCCTTGTCAAAGCGGACAAGCTTGAACATGTCAAACTTGGATGTTTGTTTTGAGGTCACAAAGCTCGCTGTCATCACACGGATTCTCGCTTCTGTTGATGTGATGCAAATGCTTATTTTTTTTAAACTCTCCAACGAGGGGCCTGAAGGGGGTTGTATTCTCGTTCATCTCCTTAATACTGTTCATTCTATGATGTTTGTGCATAAAGTAATGAAAAACTAGGCTGGAGACATCTCGGTGCCTCACCCCTGTCGCTGTGCTTGTGAAACTGGTTAACCATTACACATCTGTCATGTTGGTTTCACTCCCCAAACAGTTTCATGCAGGTGTGCTTAGTCTCAAACCCAAGATCTAGAAGCTCTAAAGTTTCCTTTAAGTATTCTTTTTTTAATATAGTATTACAGCTTTAAAAAAAAGTATAAAACTGAATATGATTATGAAAAATCAAAAGCAGACCACAAATCCTGACACATTTTATGGGTAAAATGTGTAAAACGTGTTGCTTTTTCCTGGATGAAACAAAAACAAATAAAAAGAAGTCCTTATTACCGGTGAACCCTTTGCTATGTATTGACAAACACAAAAGAGAATTGATGTTAAGCATGTTCTCACTTTCTTTTAAACCATTTAAAATGTAATTGCTGTGACTGTTAGATGTTCATGCAAATTAAAATCATTGTGTATTTTCTGTTGTTGCTGTGTGTCATAGTAGAGGTGACGATTTACTCTCGAGAAAGGTCGTACCCGGAGTTTATTCACAAGATAAGGAAATACTGAATGAATCTGATGACAGTACTACTACTTTCCATTGACACGGAAACAGTAGGTGTTTGATGAAAGCATGATAACAGTCTCAAGTCGATGTCTGCATAGCTGTAATCTGATCCATGCACTTTAGCTGTGCATACGTATTTCATGATTTGTAAGCACAATAGGGTTTTATAATGCACACTTGCTGGCATCTTAAATTACACAAAATGTATTTATTTGTGACAGTGTAAGGCTTTTTGAAGCTTCTCAATTATTATCCAGGACTAATTTGAATGTATTCCTTGATTGTTTATTGCTTCTTGCTCCTCTTTCTCTCTTTTGGTTAAGTTGACACTGATCTTCCACCCATTGCAGTGGCCTGAAACCCACCAGAGAGGCCTAACTGGGTGGGGGAAACACGATGAGTAGGAACAACGTGCTTCTGAAAGTGATCCTGCTGGGAGATGGTGGAGTCGGGAAGTCCTCTTTGATGAACCGCTACGTCACAGACCGCTTTGACTCGCAGTCCTTTCACACCATTGGCGTAGAGTTCCTTAACCGAGACTTGGAGGTGGATGGGCGCCCGGTCACCCTTCAGATCTGGGACACGGCAGGTCAGGAGCGCTTCAAGTCACTTCGCACGCCATTCTACAGGGGCGCAGACTGCTGCCTGCTCACTTTCGCTGTCAACGACTTGCAGAGCTTCCTAAATCTCAGCTGCTGGAAGAAGGAGTTTATGTTCTACTCCGACGTTAAAGAGCCGGAGAGCTTCCCTTTTGTGGTGCTGGGCAACAAGGTCGACATGGAGCAGAGGGAGGTTGGGGAGGACGAAGCGCGGGCCTGGTGTGAGGAGAACGGCTGCTGCCCTTACTTTGAGACCAGCGCTAAAGACGACACTAATGTCACAGCTGCGTTTGAAGCAGCTGTCCGGGTGGTTCTAGCTGCTGAGGACCAGATCGGTCATGCACTACTCGGCAGCACCATTGATCTTCACGGCAACCGTAAAACCTCTCGTGGCTCATGCTGCTGATAGTGCAGGGGGCACTAAGCTTTTCTGGCTTAGTTCTGACAACAGGTGTACTGTAGGTTAAGGTACACAATCCAGTAAGGATACTATGCAGGAGATGCAGCTTGTGTGAGGAAGCTGGTTTCAGGGATTTCAGCTCCTGTCTTGTGAGCTGAATTGTTGCTCTTATGAAGGTACAGGCATTCTGTGACAGGCGCGCTCGTCTTTTCTGCTTTCAGTGCTATCTCACAAGATATTGCATCCTTCTCTGTTTATATGCGAGGGTAGTATCAAATAATGGAATGAAGCATTGTCTTTTATCTCGTATATTGGAAGACAAAGTGTCGGTTTTCTCATAAATGCACAGAAATATGGAGTTGCTATGTTTTCGGATCTCAAATTGATTAGGCCTGGGTTATTGGTATGAAGATAAAAATGAAAGTTGTGATTTCAATAAGATGAAAGCCCTCCATCGCAACACTCATATGGTTTAAATTTTTTTTAAGGAGATACAAGAGAAAGTGGGCATTCAGTAAGGCATAGTTGCCCCTCCTCCACTTGTTTTTTTTTTTTCTTACTTTTGGCTAGCTGACTGAAAGTAGACCAATTTAGTAGTTTGAAAATATTTTCCAGCTAACCATCACCTTTATTAAAGTGGTGTTCTTTTAAAAGGATTGTTTTAAGAATTATCTCATAAGATGTGTGAAGAGCCATTACGTCATGTTATTCATTTTGGTCCGCATAAGCAAACTATGAAAATCTCTAACCACATAGAGTCCCTTGACTATCTGAGCTGCTTGTATTGATTAGGTTTGTGCCAGTATGAAGGTATATCAAAGTTTTTAAAAAAATTATATCTTTAAAACTAATATCTTCAGAAATGCTGCGTTTTTTTTTTTTTGCAAATATTTTTAATGAGAATTTATGACCGAACACAGTTCTTACTTTAACATAAGCTTGTTTTCTTTTTTCTTTTTTTTGACCTGTAATTTAATGACTAATAGAAAGCTCTTGTACTATAATAAAGTGACGATGTTGCTAGAATTTTCTTTGCCCCTCCTCCATGTATATAAATGTGCACTGCTGGTCAGCTTGCTCAAAGAAATTAGGCTTTATTTTTTCATACTCAAAGACCAATCCGGCCTAAAAAGACGATTAAAATGTTGAAAAGAACGCCATCCTTCGCCCTCACTTGGGCGTTTTAATGCTGCATTTGGAAGCTTGAAGCTTACTGGTGGTCTGTTGTAACTAAAATATGCAACTGGAGACAACAGAGAAAATTTCATATCAGCCCATGCCTAATAGTGATATACTAAAAAGTATTAACTGTGGTACTAGTTACAGTACTAAAGCGTTGAGTTACAAGCAAAAGTATGTGGTACACACAGACCGCTTGAGTACTACAGTTTACACAAATGCTGACTGAGCTTCAATTTGTGGTACGATAAACTACAAATGTTAGTACTCTTAAAAAAAAAGGCTACAAGGCACATTCAATAGAAAGGGAATGTTGATCATCAGGTTTACCGTTTTGCCCGTGAGCACTAGTTTCGCGGCAGTCTTTTCTTTGCCTCTGCACTACGTTGAGGCTGGGTGTAATTGAGAATTTACGTCTCAATTATGTCCGCTAGTTTTTTATGCGACAGTTTACCAGGCAACGAATGCTTGTTGAACAAAATAATTCAAAAGTCGTTCTGCCTCTGGAATTTTTCTTTTTTTATTTCCATCCAACAGTTAAATTGGGCTTCAGTGTTTGTTCAGGGACAGTTGAGGAAACTTTTCCTTGCTAGGTTGAAGAGCTCTAATTATAAATGGTCTCTGTAATCCTGCGTTGGCCTCAACATTCCAGTCTTCTAACTTTGCTCACCTGAGGGACTCCTGAGCATTACTGATAATTGATGTACATTTCATTTCTTTCAGTGTGTATATTTTACATCACCTCTTCATTCTTACAGCATTCGGCAAAAACATACAAAGTACTTGGAAAAGTTGTTTACATCTGTCATTGTATTCACACACCTGACACTGGCCACAGGTACATTTCACTTTGTTTTTATTAGTGGTGGCCAGAAGGCTCTGTTTTTTCATGTACGGTATTGGACAATGTTACAGCTAATAGTAATTTAAACTGATCTGTCTTTATGTATATATGTAGTATTTTTCTTGATTTTTTTTCAGATAAAATGTATCGATTATCTTTTTAACTAGAAGGTCCTTTATTCTCGAATCATTATGTTGCATTTTGTTTGTCTGTCACAACCTGAGATGCATTGTTTACCTATCAAGATCAAAAGTTTAAACATTTGTCTTTTTGAACTAATGGTAATTGCAAGAATTCACTGTGAAAGTGAACGGAGTAAGGTACTGTTACATTAATCAAGCTATAAGCCGACAATGTGGAGTTTGTTTGTGTTGGGTCACTTCATCTCTTCGCTACTTTGTACTACTGTAGTTTTAAATTTTTTTAATACATGGATGTTTCTGATATGAAAAAGAGAAGTCTGTTACATGACCTAAAACCCGTTTCCGTCCACATCCGTGTTGTAGATGTCCCGTACTCACATTGCCAACCACCTTCCACCAGCAGGTATGCTGTAAGGAAATGTGGCTTTAAAACTAAAATCTACCCACCACTTCTTGCTCAGTTATTTTATTTTGATCAGATGTCTCTTGTTTTGTAAATTATGCAACAGCCTTACTAAATGAGATATTTAAATATGAACCATTTACACTACAATAGGTGTAAATGGTTCATATTTAAATATAGAGGCTTTAAACATTTTTGCAATTATCTCTATCTCCTACCAATAGACATGAAACGACATGGGTAAGTTTAAAAAGGCAACTCTTTGGTGCAAATTAACAAAGGGTTGAGATGACCCAGGGTTGCATTGTTTTACAAAAACTGTGAGCTAAAGATGTAATTTAAAGTCTACACCAACTCTTAAAACGAGGGCTAATCGTTGTCAGTTATTTTTTGTGATTTAACTTTATCTATTTTCTTACACTGCTGCTTGAGTTTTATCGAGTTTGCATAGTCTGTCATGCTTTTTTTTAAACCTGAAATCCACATTGTTAGTAAAATCAGTGTTTGCCAAGAGCATAACATTCACTATGTTCTGATAAATTGTCCCATGTTTCTGTGATATTTAATAATGTCATTTTTTTAATGTTACATTTTTAAAATGTTAAATACTTTACTGCCTGTGCTCAACTCATGAGTGCAGCTCAGTCTGTGCAGAACAATAGTTTCATTTTGATTATGTGCTGATCTGAGACAGCTGCCCTTCCTCTACTTTGCACTAGTAAATAGAAACACTGAAGGCTTGATCTCCAGTGCTTGGCTTCAAATAAAGTGTGCGTCATACCAGATGGTGATTCTGTCGTTTGCATTTTTACACCTGGGAGACTACTCCTTTTTAATTCTGAAACAAAAATAAATTACTTGGTCCAGATCATTTCTTGCCATCTGTAGTCACATAAAAAAAATCCTTACATTGTTATTGCTGCATAGATTGTTTCTAAAGATCAAGATATGGAATCATATCATGGTGACATTTTACCTGCTCTCTCTCTTATTTGAGTTTCATTGCATCACCCAGTGTGTCCTAAACAACCAAAAGCAAGTGTTGTCCTTGGAAACAGTCAACTGTGTTCCTCTTCATTAAAGTGGAAATCAAACATGCAATGCATTTTTATTTTCCCTTCAGTAAAAGGACATTAAGGATGCACTGCACACTGAAATCAGATCTGGGCACAGATAAATCCAATCAGCTTTTCAAAACCAGACACAAGTAAATTTGTTAATGGAAATCAACTAATGGCACTAAATACAAAAATTATGCCCAGATTAACAAAAATAACACCTGACATATATTCAAATTTACAACTTAAGATTGAGTGGATAGTGTCTCGTATCCTAGAAAAAACAAAGCAATTCAATCTACGCAACCACTATTAAACTGAAACGTTATACAACACAGATCTGATTAATTGTGACAGCTGTAATGAGCGGCTCTTTCAGCAGAACTTCCAACGCCATCAGGAGATGTCAAAAGTGTCAGCAGAATACGGAGAGCACAGTGTCCCCCCTCTGTCCCTCTGCATCCTTCTATAAAGGTCATAGCTTCTGTCCTCTTTGGCCCTGTGCTTCAGCATCTTCACATACACTTGGTACACAGCCAAGTGAAGGCAACAGTGCACCTGTGGACACAATGAGGAAGTACAAAACATTTGTACAAAACACCCTGACCCCTGATTCTGGCCAGGAGCCAGGGATGGAGAACAAGTCAAACAGGCATTGTGACTTCACAGACTCAAAATGAAAATTATTAAAGGCAGTGTACTCAATTGTTTCATTTATTTTCAAACAGTACATTACCAACACGCACAAAAGGAAATAAAAATATATCTACCAGCCAGCTCAACATCCTACAAATAAAACTCAGCTAAGGAAGGTTTCATCAATAAAAATTACCTGTAGAAAGATTTTTTTTTAAATTATTTTAGTGTCGGTCACAAATTGCATACAATCATCACTCATGAATGCCTTCAATCTAGGCTGTTAATGAGTCTTATGAATCTTTGTTAGGGTGGATTGATGATGCAGTATTAGACTTTGTACTGAAAAACGGAACTGGGTACAAGGGTAAAATCTAATGTAGATTTTCTTCTTCACTAATATATATATATATATAAAATTCAGTTTTATTTGTATGGTGCCAATTCACAATCTTCCTCAAGGGACCTTATAAAAAAGTAAATTCAGTCCAATCTGAAATTTACACTCAAGTACCATCGAGAGGGTTTTGTATAATTTTTGTTGAGTATTGATTGGTCTTTACTGGAGTGGTAGAGGGAATGTCAGGCTTCCTCTCAAAAGCCTACCTCTTCAACATCATCCTTAAATTTTCTAGAGACTTGAGTTCCAGGTCTTTCAATACAGAAAGACGCATACTGTATGTGTTCTGCATAGTTATTCCACCCTGGAAGAAAAACAGTTCAAATAGAAAACCCAGGTTTTTGCATGCTGCTGATGAGTGTATGTAGACACCTGACCATATTGTAGATGTATTAGTAAATTAAGCTACATTTACTTAAATTGTGTTATACAATAACTACAACATAATCCCTAACGAATTAAGCATAGCAGTTTCTTTGCCATAAAAGTACTGCATTAACATAAAAAAAATAAGCAGGAAACACCTTTTTTTTTTTAAATCTGATATTGAGGTTACTTTATAATTCAGCACCTACAGCTTTTGTCATCACAGTGAGAAACATTTACCGACCTCACTAGATCTAACAAATGCTGAATCTATAATTCCTTCACTCTGAATCCACCGTTTGAGAGTGAGGTGTGCCTGCAGCACAGTATGGACGTGTTCTGTATGCGGTTGCAGTGGAGCTGCACTGAGGGTTTGCAGAGGTCTAGCCCTCCCTTTGTCCAGGGAGCAGTCTCCTTTGACACGTAACACAACTCCTCTGGCAGAGACTCGCAGTGCAGGTGGCCCCCAAAAGAGACTTCTTATTGGCTAGATTTTCAAACTGGCACAACTCCATTGTTGCTGCTTTTTCTCTGGCCCGTGAGAAAAGTCCTGAGGTCAGCATGAGACTGCAAATGCGTGTTTGTCTGCCCCCATAGCAACCAGATGTGAGGCGTGGTGGCCATATTAACCTTTTAGCCCTTGTTCTACTCAGCAGCGGTATGCTGCTATGTGCTTGTCCTATAGCTTATGTTTTAGTTCATTAGTACTGTGTTATGTTTTGACGGTTATCGGTTGCATAAATTAACACTGAAATGATCTGACAAGAAAAGTCACATTTACTGCAAGTTATATCAGCAATTAAAACAGATGAAACAAAAACATTCTCATAAAAATGAGGGGAAAAAGTGTTTCCTAAAGTCCATGATCGTACGTAGTTCTGTGCAGGTGAAGTGAAAGGACAGAGATGTTGAAGTCCCCTTTAAGTCCCCTTGTTGATGTCAGAGTGGTGACAGAGTGGACAGGAAGCTGGGTGCCTAACACCGTGGACCTATGCCCTTTCTCCCAAGATAGCGCAGAACCGCAAAGTTATAGGTGCTTGACACGGTATAGGTCAGCTACAGAAAGACAAGGAAAAAGGAGGAGATGAGAAGACCCACAAAATCCTGGATATCTACAAACATAAAAACAAAACATGATGGTGCTAATAGTTTTAGCTTGATAAAACAGCTTCTGTAATGGAGCATGAAAGTATAATGGCTGCATGGCTGGCTGGAGCGCCACTAGACATTACAGCATTATTATGCTGCCTGTGTCAGCTGACAAAGAGGAACAGAGAGCAATAGTACAAGAGTCATCAGTCATGGAGGCCTGAAATGCCTCACTGCCTACACTTTGACCGGCACTATGTCACATAAGCAACAAAATGGTCGTTGTACCCCGAACCGGCCCTCCGCTTCCACACTCACCAGAGCCAAGAGAGTGATGCCTGCACCAGCGAAGGCAGCAACATACAGGTTATAGGTCATCTGATACTGATAGGAGAAGATCAGAATGATTATTTCCACTTCCTCTCAGGCCAGTGATAAAATGCATCAGGCGCCAGAGTTCTTACCTCTCTGGTTTTGCAAATATTGGACAGGGTCATACCACAAGCTTTTCCTGGTACTGCATTCCACGGCAAGAGTCCTGAGGGGAAAAATAATTCACTTTAGCTCTAATCTAATTTCATCAATATAAGGTTAACTTTTAATGCGCTATTGTATTGTTCTCATCATCAAACTTAAAAATTTCGAAACTGTTTTGAAAACATTTTGATAAAAAGCTGAATATTATTTTAGTAATTTCTTTTAGCTCCAGACTAGTGTGCAGTTAATGAGAAGGGACCCCCAAACCAGGAGGGACTGATGATAAAAAAAGATAAGGCAAAGACAATCAGTGCTGATTTTTATCATAACAATCAGTGCTGATTTTTATCATAACAAAGCCACAAACCACTCAGTGGAGCATTGTCTTGTAAATGTGTTTTTAGCTAGGGCTCTAAAACAATGAAAGTGTTGGCCTGTAGGCACTTTAGAGAGCCATTTAGGATCCCTAGAGCATGAATAATTGTTTGCACATGATTTTTGCATCTCAGTTGCTAAATAAGATGGGGTGATCCTTGGAAATGCTGCACAAACAAATGCAGCGTACGTAATACTGTAGACTCATGCCATGCCATCGTCAAAAATCTTCATGACTTTTGTTATTTGCAAGATAACCACAAAATATATATATATATATGTAGGGTGATGCTATTTAACACAAACAATGAGAGGAGTTGGTCATGCAAGTCATCAGAAACACACATTTAACTCAGCTCCAGTTTCAAGCCAAAAACTATGGATACTTGCAAAAAAGCAATATTACTATTAGCAATACAAGGTAATGGCTAATAAAGAAACGGAGCGATAGTATTTCTCAGCATTTTGCACTTCTAAACTGTCCAACAATGTCTTCATTAATGTACAGAGTATCTTAGTTGTAGTCAAGTTATGGCAGACATAGGACTACTTAATTTTGAGATTGGGGATGATGAAAACCCTGGAAATTTTACACCTTGAATTTCAGCTTTATGCCAGTTCTCCACCTTTTCTTGCTTAGAAATTGTGACTTCTGAAATTAAAAGTGTCGTGGAAAAAAAAAAAAAACTATTTCCAAGCACTGTCCAGGTAGAATCACTCAATCAGGTTTAGTCATGCATTGTGCACAATACAGAGAGCCAGTCTGGATGCCAGGCTAACCCAGCTCACTAAACTCCCCAAGCTCTGCCAGGCAGAGACAACATGTAAATTTTTATAAAATGATAAGGAAGGAAAACAAGGGGCAAGATGGTCTGGTCCTTACGCAGCTGTGGAAAACAACCTTCCAACCTCTTACAAGTAACCCAAATAGTTCTTTACAAGTAACCCAAATAGTTCTTTACAAGTAACTCAAATAGTTCTTTTGGTTAGAGTTCACAAACATTTCATTTGACATAACTAGCAGATGTGACCTTAATGTAATTTTTCCATGACAAAAAGCAATGACACGATATTTTTTCCTCCATTTTGTTTTTAGTCATAAAAATATCTAACCCTGTTATGTTATTGAAAAACTAATCCACTGGTGTGCTTCCAAAATATGGCTATACCATCCATTCAACATTACTAATCTACCAGTATTTAAAGGATAATGCGCTCAAACAATGGCCTAATAAGAGCCTGATCGAATGCTGGCTTGCACAGGGCCCGGTTCAGTGGTATTTTTATTTGGAGGTTGGCGACAGACAGACTAATAATAATAATAAAAAAATCTATCACTTCAGTTTCAGTAAAAGTTCCTGAAACATTGAGATGGTACCGTGTTGCCTTGCATCAATGCAGAGCTGGTTTATGCTCGCTGGGGTCTCAGTCAGAACGTCAATGGTGCTGCAAGTTGCATCCATGTTGTAG